TGTGACAAATCTGTTTTGTGAGGAGAGTCGTTGATCTCCTTGACTAGACGAAGTTGGTGTTACTCCGCCTCCACATCTACCCCGTGACCTATCAGATGACTTCTGAGGGGAGGAAATTACTGGCGTTTTGGGGACGATCTGCTGTTTAGGAGAACGAAGAGGAGACGGGGCTTTAGAAGAATGTTTACGAGATGTAAAAGATAAACTAGTAGACTTTGTATTAGAGGCAGATGTCGGAAGACTATTTACGATAGATGAATTATCTATATCGTCGGGAAGATCCCAGATAGATCCATTGCCCCAACTGTCTGATTTATTTGTATCTTTTTTACTTGATTTCTTACTTTCATTTTTTAGGTGATGGCATCAATGAGCCGGTTCATTCGAGTCTGTGTCGACTCGTGACTGAATGAACGGCCAACTTTGCTGGCATACGAAGGCTTGTTCGTAGCTTTGAAATCATTCGAAACAGAAGCTATCCATATAAGGCACAAAATGTGCACCAGAATTAAGTTACCTTGTTTTGTAACCCCTATTGACATAATGGTTACATTGGTTACACTCATACAAACTATCATAAATCATCATATATTCATATGTATTTTTTCATTGTAACCTGACTTCCACATGCATGTAACCATTGTAACCCAACTTCAATGTGTATGTAATCATTGTAATAGCTCTACCCCTACCTATTCAGTTTGCAGCAGAAATGGTCAACTATAAAGCCGGTATTGCATATCATTTAGTAAAGGTCCATGTGTGTAACCAATGTAACCATTGCTTCAATGGGGGGGGGGGGGGGGGGGGTAACAAAACAAGATACCTATATTCAGGTGCACATTTTGTGCCATATCTACATGCATGTAACCATTGTAACCCAACTTCCCCATGCATGTAACCATTGTAACCCTCATTCTCCATGTATGTAACCATTGTAACCTGACTTCCCCATGTATGTAACCATTGTAACCCTCATTCCCATGCATGTAACAATTGTGAAGCATTTCTGCATTACCATGACATTGTTTGGTCCCATGACCAAACTTTTGGCATTTGAAACACATAATTGGTTTGGGATGTACATGTCTACCTTGATGCCAAAGCATCCCAATTTCAAAGAGGAAGGAGGAGTTGGAGTTTTGAAAGTCAAAAGATAAGTATTTAATTTAATCATTTGGTCATTCTTTTTAATTTGGAATCTAACCACATCAGTTACACCTTGGTTTGAAAGTTCTTTGCAAATTTCTTCAACAGTTAGAACAGAAAGATATTGACGTCTGTCTCGAATGATTCCCTTGCTACTGTTTAAACTAGTGTGTGCTGATGCCGAAACAGCAAAACCAGTTATAGTTGTCAATTTCAGCAAATTAGCTGATTGACCTTTGTTTATACATTCAACTAATAAATTCCCTGATCTCATTTTAGAAACATTTTTGACCATTACTGCAATGCCTTGAAAACATTTCTGAATTACAAAAGGGGAAATTTTGGATATAGGTTTGTCGACAGTACCTGTTATCACAATAAATCAGGGCCAACTATCATCTTCCTGACAGGGCTCAGAGTCGTCACATTTCCTTTTTTTTTAAAGAGCTGATTTGGAGTTTGGGTTTAGGTGTGCCATAATGAGAGGAAAAATATTCACTATTCTTGTCAACCACCCTCCTCGGAGTGCCTACAAGGGCGATACTGTATTACCGTGGCGAGCCGGGGTCAAGTGCCAATGCTGAAACCGAGCTCCAAAAAAATGTAGCTCGTCACCAAAATTGACACCCAAGATTCACTACAGAAAGCACCAGAGCGTATCCATCAAGCGCAATAGAAAGCGTACCACTTGATTGACCCATGAGCCACCGCCTTCTCCAGTCATCCTTGTTTTTTAAAAATCTCTTATTCAAACATTGAAAACATCATGGTTACAGGAAAGCTAAATTTAAGGAAAAACTGAAGGGCTTGGTGTGACCAGCCAATTGATCAGACTGGGTCCATCTGACCTCCCGTTTAGATGATATCGGAGCCAAAGCAGAATATTGAGTCTGAAACCTCTTCCATTTGACAGGAGTCTAGCAACAGTCTCTCGTCCATCAGGATCTCGTCAACCATCGACACGAGTAGCAACCCACGGCTTACAGGTTGGAGTGCCTATTTTTATTTTAAACATCGGGCAACTCGTACGATGTTCGGATCACTTTAGTCTGGTCTCTACCCATCGACCTGTCCAGCATGGGTAACCCTACCAGGAGACGAAGCTGCAGCTGGCATAGCTCTCATGGTCACTGAGACACGCAAGCCCCCCCCCCCCCCCCCCCCATCCACGCCGACACCTTAAGGAGAGCGATCCACCAGGGGGAGAAAAATAACAATGACGAAAACTTCATCCATGGCCATTATAGGCAAGAACATATAAGTATTCAGAAAACAGGAAGTGGATGAGTGATGAATCTGAAAATGCATAAAGCATGCTTACAAGAAGTTTGAAACCACTTACTTTGGGAAGCTCTGATTTGTAGTTCCCGAGAAAAAATGACTATTAAGTGCAAGAACGTACATGTTTGAAAAACAGGAAGTGGATGAGTGATGAATCTGAAAGTACATCACAAAGTATAGCATGCTCATACGGAAGCTGGATACCAAATTTCAGAAAGTCTGTAGTTCCTGAGAAATGTGCGACCAAAATGATATGGGACCAATGCAAGAATGCATGGATTTTTTTATTTATTACTGTCCTTGTATTATCCAGTAATTTTTGTCCTATTGTAATACCTATTGTCTGACCAGTTTGAAAGATTGTCAATACAATTTGTCCATTTAAATTGTACAATAGGTAACAAGAGAGCTTATCAACAGGTGGTCATTTACTGTGGATTGACTGTAGGTGTTGCTTTCCACCTATTGCAGTTTTATTCTAAATTCTGTTTGTTTTATGTAAACTGTTATCACAGAGATATGTCTCGCCTTTTTGTAATTTTGATAATGCAAATGTTGAAATTAAAATAGCAATACTTTAACATGCAAGTTATGCAAATATTCAAAGTCGATGAACCATGACTGAAGGTACATGGCTAAACAATCTCCATCGAATGAGATGTGCCAATGCTAATACAACAACATACCATTGACTTATTATAAGTTGTTCCCTTTAAACAAACCTAAACACAAACATTAACTTGTAAACTATGTAAAAGTTTCAAAGTCAATACAGCATGATCAGGGGTGGGCTATATAATCTCCATGGAAACGATACTTGCAAATGCCATTAAATTTGCATACCAAATATCATTGACTTAACATTAGCAGTTCATCTTAAACTGATCTAATCACAAACTAATATATGTTAACTACGCAAAATTTTCAGTCTATAGACCATGACTAAGGGGGCGGAGCCAAATAATCTCCATGGAAATGAGATATGCCAATGCTTATACAACTGCATACCAAATATCATTGACCTACCACTAGTGGTTCCCCATAAATTGACCTAATCACAAACTAATACATGTAAACTATGAAAAGTTTCAAAGTCAATAGACCTTGACTGAGGGGGCGGGCCAAATAATCTCCATGGTAATGAGATGTGCCAATGCTAATACAACTGCATACCAAATATCATTGACCTACCACTAGTGGTTCACCATGAACTAGACCTAATCACAAACTAATACATTGTTGGCGCCGCAGCCGGAAACAGCATATCTATGTCTCGCTTTTTTGACTCCGTCAAGGCGAGACAAAAACCACTGTTCAACTGCTCAAAATTTTAATAAACTGCTGAAGAAAAACAGTCCAAGTTGTGAATATGCAAGGTGATAAAATAAGGCACACTTACAATCCTATGAGACTTTATTTCCATTTCATTGATATTACGAAAATCATTCAAAGAATTTTTATACATATTGTTATTGTAATTGTCATGTGGAAGAGGAATGGTAGTATTTTTTGAATTGCTAAAAAAACAAGCATTCTGAGAGTATTGCATGGCAATACATAGTCCCTTAACGGGTAAAAATTCATTTTACTGGAACAAAATGCTAACTTGTTCTATAACTTGTCATGGTGTAAACAAAAAGTAAATATCATGTCAATATCTTCAAGCATGTGTGGAAAACTGATTATATGAGTGAAAAAAATGTCAACAACTTTTATCTACACAATGTAATGTATTGAAATATATACATTAATAAAAATAGATTATTATCTAATTAAAGGATTTCTCTTCATAAATTTTTATATATATATAGCATTCAGAAAATTAGTTTATACTAAATATAAAAAAACAAACCTGCCAAAAAATTCTTCAAATAGTTTAACAAAGAATGTCTTTTAAAAAATGAGTTATCTCCCTTTGTACAGAAATATGACTTAACATAGTACTCTAACATTAGATATGGTCCATAACTCTGGACTAAATCATCAGACAGAAACAAAATTCGAACTTGATCTATAACTTGTCATGATAAAACTATATACCATATATCAAATCAATATCTTCAAGAACGAAGAAAAAAAGTGTGGAAATCTGATTTGCCTGACTGACGGATGGACAGACGGACAGATGGACAAACGGACGGAGTGCAAACCTAAAGTCCCCTTCGACTTCGTCGGTAGGGGACTAAAAACCCATTTGAACAGTTCAGGCGTAATCATGGTTGAGGGGTGTGTAAAATGAAATCAGACCTTAAGAAACAGACAATCTGGTAACTTCTGTATTGTTAGTAAGTACAAAAACTACTTAACAATAACAGACCCAGAAAAACTCCTCAATTTACAACAAGACATAGTGTCTGAACACAAGTAACAATCAAGGTCAAGCAATTAAACCACATAAAACTAACCAAATCAAAAAGAGTTAACATTTGTGTGTTTCCACATCTTCATTATTTGTTATGGTTTCCAAATCAATTACTAATTTTACAAAATGAAATTAATTAAGCTTCTGATATTCAACTGTATAAACAATGATTAACACGGCAAAATGAATATAGACACTAAACTCAATATAGACTGTAGTTATTTTTATTGAAATTTATGCCACTAGGACACATGTTCCACCAACAGAGTTTATTTTCTTTTCTGCCTCTCTACTGAAGAATCTGGCTTTCACTATCATTGGCTGTTTTGGTAAATGTCCTTTTCCAAGAACTTTGTAGTATCCCTGTAGAGAGAAAATGTTTGTAATTAATCTAACTCTGCTGACATTAATCCGTTCCAAAAAAAATGTGTCCCCAGCAATTTTCTATGTAGTATTTAATATGATAACAAATTACTTTTTCCTATAGAGTGATCTGGTTATAATGCACATCTTCAAGTGTTCACTTAAACAATGTAAGTTATCAAATAGTACACTTTTACACAATTCCAAACATTGGAACGTTTTTGTATCATGGAATTCAGTGTATAATTAAGTTTTTGAGTACTGATTTATATGTGAAGAAACACTTTTTTGACAATGCTCAAACAAGACCTGCTGACCAAATATGAAGTCATTCTTTTCAGTAGTATAAGAAAGGACAGATAAGGTGAATGCAATATACATGTAGCCCCTAGTCCTAGATTGGATATATTAATTATAATAATACGGGTTGGGTCTCTCCTGAAGAGTTGTCTCATTGGCAATCATACCACATCTTCTTATTTTTATAATTAAAGTCTTTCTGAATTCCTATAGAAAAGGAGTATATGATGTTTGACATATAATCACTATGTGCATAAAAAGATCACACAAATGAACAGCACTTAATTTCCTGTTCTTTATCTCCAAGTCAAAGTGAGACCTTCAAAACACGCAAAATGGAGAAAAATTCTTAACAAAAAAATAGCATTCTAATACTTAATTACCGGACATAAAAATAAGATGATTTGGTATGATTGCCAATGAGACAACTCTCAAACAGAGACCAAATGACACAGAAGTTAACAACTATAGGTCACTGTACGGCCTTCAACAATGAGTAAAACCCATACCTCATAGTCAACTATAAAAGGCCCTAAAATGACAAATGTAAAACGAGAAAACTAACACTGGTAGAAATTATTTTGATTGTAAAGTAATAATAAAATGCTCCGCTGGGCGCAGCTTGATACGACCGCAGAAGTCGAACCCTGAACAATTGGGGCAAGTATGGACACAACATTCAAGCTTGATACAGCATTGAATTTGGATTGTGATTAAATATTTGACACAGCATAGGTTTCTGACACAGAATGAATGTGGTCTAAGAACTTAAAATTTTTTAATTTACCTATTGAAACCATATCATTGTTATTTGCTTTTATATATAAATCAGAAATAACCAATTTAAAATGGAAAATTTTAAAGAAAAAAAGGGAAAAAAGGAAAAAAAAAAATCCCCTCCCCAAATTTTTTGAACCCCCTTATGATTCATCACCACCAAACTCAATCTCAGCCTTCCCTTTGTGGTCTGGTACCCTGCAGTACAATTTCAGAGAGATCCATACACTTGAACACAAGTTATTGTCTGGAAACTAGAAAAATGCTTGTTTTTTGGCCCCTTTTTGGCCCCAAATTCCTAAACGTTTAGGGCAATTACCCCCAAACTCAAACCCAGCTTTCCCTTTGTGATATGGAACCTTGTAGTACAATTTCATAAAGATCCATACACTTACACACAAGTTATTGTCCTGAAACTAGAAAAATACTTGTTTTTTGCCCCTTTTTGGCCCCTAATTCCTAAAATTTTGAGGCAATTACCCCCAAAATCAATCCCAGCCTTCCCTTTGTGGTATGGTACCTTGCAGTACAATTTCAGAGAGATCCATACACTTGAACACAAGTTATTGTCTGGAAACAAGAAAAATGCTTATTTTTTACCCCTTTTTGGCCCCTTATTCCTAAACATTTTGGGCAATTACCCCCAAACTCAATTCCAGCTTTCCCTTTGTGATATGAAACCTTGTAGTACAATTTTTATAAAGATCCATACACTTACACACATGTTATTGTCATGAAACTAGAAAAATGATTGTTTTTTGCCTCTTTTTTGGCCCCTAATTCCTAAAATTTTGAGGCAATTACCCCAAAATTATTCCAAGCATTCCCTTTGTGATATGGAACCTTGTGGTACAATGTCAGAGAGATCCATACATTAACACACAAGTTATGTCTGGAAGTTACAAAAATGATTATTTTTGATCCCTAATTCCTTATCTGTTGGTACCACAACCCCCAAAATCAATCCCCACCTTCCTTTTGTGGTATTGAACCTTATGGTAAAATTCCATAGAGATCCATTTACTTAAACTAAAATTAGAGTGCAAAAACCAATGTGTCTTCGGACGACAACGACGACGACATCAACGTCATACCAATATACGACCGCAAATAATAAAAATTCCAATGTTGTACAATAATCAAGAAACGTTGAATAAAGTGATTTTAAGATTGGAGGGAATCTTTTCTTTTAAAGGAATTTTCAATACACATGATCAATAGCCAGAATTATTTTTTAAATAACCAGACAGGATTAAATCTATAATCTAGAGATGAGGGATACAGGATCTTTGGCCATTTTTTTAAAACCATGAGAACCTTATTTTGAACAAAAAAACTTTTGACTTCTGGTACTGTCTACTTTTCTAGCCGTCTTCATACTTACAGCTCTTACTACATCAATGACTGGTGCCTTGTCTTTTTTGTCTTTATACACTTGTCTAGTTTGTTCTGATACTAAACTCCACAATCTTTCTATGTTAACAGCAGGACAGTGGAACTTATTCAAGGTCTTATGGTAGTATCTCATACCAACTTTACCGAAGTAACCAGGATGGCTGTCAAATAATATTGAATATCATTTCATAATTAGTTTAATAATACATGTGCACTATCAATTTGCTTTTTTTTTAATAAATCTTTACATAATGTTGCAGTAACATACTTATACACCTGTGAATTTCTTTTTAAAAAATAAGTCACCTTTTAAGGCTGAAAACCCCAAAAGATGTCTAACAATTTTTGTTAAAAAAAAATACAGTAGGTATTTCAATAGATAACAAGCATTCTGAGAGTATTGCCTGGCAATGCATAGTCCCCTACCGGTTAAAAATTCATTGTACTGTAACAAAATGCTAACTTGTTCTATAATTTGTCATGGTGTTAACTTTATAACAAATATCAAGTCACTATATTCAAGCATGATACACCCGTTGCATTTTTTACAAATAAAGTTCAATAACTTCTCAATGTCATATCAGAAATTTGTGAAAAACTAAAGGGAGGTTATCTTAATTGATATAAACCAGTCACCAAAGTTTAATGAAAACTGCTCAAAGCAATTTAAAGGTATTGTCCGAAAACTAGAAAATCACCCCTTTTTTATGAATAAAATCCCATAACTCAGAAGTGTAAAATCTAAAATTTATAAAAATTGAAAGGGAGCTTACATCAATAGATATAAACAATTATCCAAAGTTTCACGAGAACTGCTGAAAGCATTTTTGAGTTATTGTCCGAAAACTGGAAAATCCCCCCCTTTTTTTAATGAATAAAACCCCATAACTCAGAAACATAAAAATCTAAATTTTATAAAAAACGAAAGGGAGCTCACATCAATTGATATGAACAATTCACCAAAGTTTTATGCAAATTGGTTGAAGTGTTTTTGAGTTAATGGCCGACATGTTGACGACGGCCGGACGGACAACGGTATACCATAATACGTTGATTTGTAACTTGTCATGATAAAACAATATACCAAATATCAAATCAATGTCTTCAAGTACGAAGAAAAAAAGTGTGGAAAACTGATTTGCCGGACTGACGAGTGCAAATCTAAAGTCCCCTTGGACTTTGTCGGTAGGGGACTAATAACCATACAGATTATATACAAGGATCATCAGGCATTGCTATTTTGAAGATTTATCTCAAGCAGAATTTAAGTCCCCAAAAATATCAATCTGACAATATATGGAGTTTCAGCTAAAAGAGTGCACTTCTATTTCCATGTTCCATGTTTGGCAATACATTTCTGAACTTCTTTATAGCATATTTATTTTATTTTTCAATCACTAATCCTATATATATACATAATTATCATTGAATAATACTCACTATTTATCAAAGTTGATTCTATGATGATGCTGACCACCAGCATTACCACGACCACCAGGATGTTTCCTGTGTTTGCCTAAAAAGTAAAACAAATCTAAGCATACTATTCTATTAAAGCAATTGTTTACCAATGAGCCTGAGCTTCAATTCATGTAACATTTCCTAATTAATTGCTCTACAAAGTTCATTTCATATTACAGGGCCAAAATTATTCATTTCTTAGTTCCCTATGGTACCTAAATATTGGCTTTATATGCTCAAGTTTTCCCTGTGTAAGATTTGCCAATTAAATTAAGTTTCACACACAGAATGTTGGTCCTATTCTAAGGTTTCCCTGCTTTCTGTATTTCCCCAGTTTCATTGTTCAACACAGTTTTTTGGAAACTTATAGATACTAATGTTTTTATTCAACTAATTGATAGTCCCAAGTATCCTTCAACCATTCTTTCCATGTCAACTCTTTTAGTATTTTTTTTAATTACCTTGTTAGGGGAGGGTTATTGCAATTCTTTTGTTCTGAGTTTGTTAAAATCATTTTGGATTGCATAAATGTTTAGTTTTTTCTTCGTCCTGATCAACAAAAAAATTACATGTAAAACTAGGAGAGTTGTCTCTCATCAAACATGTAGCTTCATTTTTTTTCATGTGCTTCCCTTTAGGAAGAACACAGTATGTCAATTTGTCAATTATTAATTGTCTTTGTGTTTTCATGTGTAACTTTGTCTAAAATGTTTGTGTCAAGTTTAGATAAATTTGTTTTGCCTGTTGAATACTTTCATACCATCAATCAGGACAATAAGGGTATATAATCAACATAGAAAACAGTATGGTCCAAATTCACTATTTTATGGATCTAATGGAGTTGGATCATTTTTATTGCTGTCTAACAGATTCAGGTATACAGATTTCAATGTTAGGAAGACCAGTTCAAGTACCATTCTACAATTTAAACTTTAACAAATAAAACATACCAATACGACCATGTCCATGACTGACATGGCCTCTCAGCTTCCTGGTCTTCTTATTTTTTGTTGTCTGAAAAGGAATGATAAAAAATATAATTATTACTGTCTCTGCCTTCCATGAAAACCTCTTTCTAAATTGCCATTTTTTCATACAAGTCTTGACTACATACAAGAGATTCTTATCAAGAATGAAAGAAGCTAACATTGTCCTTATATGGATGATGTACTCATTAAAAATTTCAAAGTTCCGTGACTTTGTTGAAGGCATCTACCTAATCAAACTTTAAATTAAGGGTACAACAGTTACAGTTCAGTCTACTTCATATCTTGACTTGTGCTTAGAAATTGACAATGAGGGTCAGCTGAGAACAAAACTTTAAAAGGGATGATTTCAGCTTCCCAATTGTGAACTTTCAATTTCAATGTTGCCACATTCCAGCAGTGCCTGCATATGGATTAGGCCATTGAAAACTGAACGTTTTTTTTCCACTACACAAGATATTAAATGGTTGGCAGACAGGCAAAACTTATTTTATTTTTATTGCAAAAAAACAAGAGAATTTTTTATTAAACCACTGACAGGAAATTCTTGAGAAAAAACCTTGTTTCAAATTATATCTTGATCTATATTATAAGCTACTTTAAACATGAAGAATGACAAATGAAACTTTTTAAAAGAAATTATCAGACAATCAAAGCGTCATTGATAATTGTCTAAAGAGAGAATTGACAAAGAGGTTAAAAACAGACCTAGCAGGGTTAGGCGACAAGTTTTTTTTTTAACAACCTTGAGGGTCTTGCAAGGTCAGTAAGGTTAGGGGAAAGCAACAATCTTTTTTGCATAGCCTTATATATATCCCAGTTTTTATGATATTTCAGGGCTTGCATTTCCTACCATGTTTCCTTAATAGAGGGTTGCTTCTTATAAGGAAGCTATTGAACCACGAGTTTTAAGCAGTGAAGTTGAAATCATCCCTTTGAAAATTTTACAGACACCATCACCAGTTGACTGACCGTTGTGGAATATCTGTTTCACAGATGATGAGGGTTATGTACCAATTGTTGTTACCACAATCCCGTCATTTTTCCTCAAATGTGACCTACAGAATTAAGACTGATCACAATGTTTGAACATGAGCAACATGACAGGTGCCACATGTGAAGCAGGACCAGCTTACCCTTCCCAAGCACCTGGGATCACCCCCCATTTTGGGTGGGGTTTATGTTGCTCATTTTTTTGTTTTCTATGTTGTTTTGAGTAATTTTGTTCGTTTTATTGCCATGGCATTGTCAGTTTTGGATTTTTTAATGTCCCTTTGGTATCCTTTGTCTCTCTCTTCCAAGTCTCATAAATAATTTGGACAAGCTTATTCAGGTTGGGACCACGTCATCAATCACCTACATGGGTTATAAAGATGCAGTTTGGGATTGATGACCCAAATGAGATATACATTAAGATCAGCAGTAGCAAAGTTAACATTACAAGGTAAGCAGCTTTCCCTGTAAATGAATAAATTGCTACCCCTGAAATCAACTATTTTAAATGGGATCTTATTACTGAAAAATATTGTTGTATAAATGAGGTATGTGTTTAAAGGGAGTCTAACCCTTCTTAGCTGCAAAAAGTAAATCTTGGGTCCTTATATTTTTCAACAATTTGCCTTCTAAGAGCTACAGATTATTCCCATGTTAAAATGTTTGGAATTGCATCCCAGGTTCAGGTCACACTTATTTTCAAAAAAGTCATACAACTCATCGCTATTTAGTACAATCAAGAAAATTCGACTAACTATTATCTTATTATTTCCTATTATTTAAGTCAAGGATCTGGAAATTTTCCCAAGTCATTTCGGTCATTTTTTTTTTGTGATGTAATAATATCGTGATGCACAATAATGCATTTTTCTAAGGGTGACAAGTCTTGCACATGGACAAGTAAAGTCCTTTTTTGTGAAGTATTGGGTCAAACAAGTGTAACTGTACCTTGATCTAACAGTAACAGTGATGTCTCTGAGTTAGAAACTACACGAGGAGACGTTTTGTTGTTGTGTATTGCATCACTGAGGTCGTATGCATAACCCTTTAAATTTGCATAAATTAAAAGAGCATGTTTCATCATTTTGAAATAAAGTTATGTAAACCAATTAATAAACTGTGTTGAGCTTCTTATTGCATGTACAAGATATCGTTTGTATTGTTCAAATTGCTGCTGTTTGGATGAGTGTAAGTGATTACCTAATACACAACAAGATAATGTGTATTCACCTGGTTTACGATATGAGGATCAAAAAGGGGAAACCATGAATTCTGTTGGTCTTTACAGAGAGAATGTATGGCTTCACTTGGGTAAAAATCGGAAGTTTAGCCAGGAAAACAAAAGAAAGGATAACGCCCATTACATTCTGTGAGTAAGATGGTTTCAAAAAATCGGAAGTGCAAAAAAAAAAAAAAAAAATCGAGATTGTTCATTCGCTGAGTATATTTCTTAAATAGGCTGTATGGCTTCAAATCTAAATTACGTTATTTAGTTTTAATTCCTTTTTTAAACATTTTTTTTTAATTCTGCATTCCTATAAATTATACGCTTTACCACTTTTGCAAATCTATTAATATCTTTATCTGCCATTTCCTACCGAAAAGTTAACAGTAAAATCGATCTTTCAAATAAGATTATCAATTAACCCATGTTGATCCCCATTTTCCATGCGCAAACTCAGTAAACATAAATCTATATTTAACAAACGTTGACCAAATCAGCTGATCGATTATAAATGGATTATATGTTTTATTTGGATAAAAATAGACAGATTCTCGGGTCAACAGTGTTATTTGTCTTCTTTAATGAATAAAATAATATCTGTTTGGGAAAATCTAGGTCAGAATGGTTAAAACGTTAAATTTGATGCACAGCAAATCGCCATATTGTTTTTATTGCTTAACAGGTGTTTACAGGTGAGATTTGTGTACATGGCCTTTATGGCTTTAATCAAGACAATAACGACACCCAAGCCGAATTCAAACTTCCTGGACATTGATTACTATCCTTACTATGTAAACAAACCTAGTGGCTTGAACCCAGACTTACCCCACGCTGTGACTCGACAGAGTCCTGTACATTGTTTTTACTTACATTATAGAATAAACAACAGACTAATGATAAATATTATTAAATCACTAACACAAATCAATAAAATTTTTATTTTGTCTCAAACAAATCTATTTTTCTTGATGACCTGAAAACAAAAATAAGTTCAAAATGGCGACCGATAAAACCCTGATCTCAATGAAATGACCGAAATTATTTCTGTAAAAAAAAAAAAAAAGACCTAAATCCCAATAAATCATTTCGGTCTTTTCAGTTTCCAAATCGGTCATGTCTGGCATATATGACCGTTTCCGGACCCTTGATTTAAGTGTTTTAACATAAGAATAATCCTTAGCTGGATGGCCGGAAAACGTCAAAAAAATGTCATAAGGACCTAAGAGCTACGGTTCTGCAGCTTAACCAGTCTCGAGTTGAAAAGATTTTCTTATGCGCAGTTGGTTAAGGTGTGACTTTGGATACATGCAAGTATGGTAGCATATAGTCATGAGGTACATGCATGACCAGGCTTTAATATTGTTGGTTATTTCAAACGTCGTCTTGCATGTAAATAAATATGATGGTTTTCGAGTGGAAAAGATTACAAGAAAACAAAAATAAATCAAAAATCAGGAAAAATCTGCAAATTACATTAAGACAGAAACGCTGGTCTATCGCAAGATCTATCAACATAAAAGTAACCCTTTTTTAATTCTAGAATCGCCACAATGAGCACCGCCAACTTATCTACATAATAGACTACATTAGACAGGCTGAGCACATTTTTTGTTTTAAGAAAACCTAATCTGAACACCCAAAAGGCAGTCAGGGGTACTACTTAAACAAGTGATTTCATTATCACCTATTTCAGTGATTTGATAAATTCAGTTATCACCTATTTAAGTGATTTTGGTGTTTCCTTTGATCTTCAAATGCTAATTTCATTGATTTTCCATATTTTGACAAACTTTTTTATAATTTTCCTACATAGAACTAATTATCCCTTTCTTTTGTATATCAATTTCACCAGTGCGCTTGGACAGTAAGTTAGTGCGCTAAAGCTTTTAAAAGTACCCTTGGGAATTTTTCTATAATCAAATATTCATTAACTACTCTAACTATCAGACAAAGGTCAGCAATATTAGGTAACCTGATTGGTTTTCTTTAGAGTTATAATGATCTACAAATTATTCCAGTTTTTGCATATTTTAAATAAACTGTAAAAACTGACAGATCAAGCAAAAGACAATTTCTGCATGTACATAGTTGTTTTTTCAATGGAATTCTCGTCTTTTTACCAATAAAAAAGGCAAGCTTGTGTGAAAAATATCAAGAAAATGTTATAAACACTTGTTGTCTGATGTTGAAGTGATTACATTTTAACTTCTCAAATTACTTGTTTCAGTGATTTAAAAAGTCTGTGTCTATTTTTGTGAAAATTTTTAATATTTCACAGCCAAAATCACTTGAAGAAGTGATTCTGAAATCACTTGTTTAAGTAGTACCCCTGACTGAAAGGAGATTGTTTAAAATAAGCTTCATATTTCACGCTGACATGATTTATAAGGGGACGAAGTCCCCTATTACAGTAGAAAAATCAATAAAAAAAAAAAAAAAAAAATAGGGAAAATTTCCCGAAATTTTCATTGTACTAATGAACTCAAAATCGTTAACTCTTTTTTTTCAGACTTTTTTATTTTCCCGCATTTGCGCAGAAATCAACTTCCTTCTTCCGGTCTCGTTTGTCATGATACTTTGAGTGAAATATATATTTATCAGTCTAGTAAAATATAGGACGGAACACAATACCAATTTCATTTTTAACAATTATTTGATATGAAAAAAACGTTACCTGATGAAAGCGTTTCTTTGTTTACATTGAATATGACGTCATAACTTAAATAACGTCACAACTAAAATCCCTAACAACAGAACCAAAATCGGAAACGTTACGGTATTTCAGTTTCTTTTTTTTAACATATTTTGAAGTTAAAATATGTTTGAATTAAAAAAAAATATTCATACAGACTTCGTCCCCTTTCACAGGTAATGCCTGTCTCATATTAGGATAATTATTGCAAAATTAAACAGACAAAACGTTTAAATTGGATCAAGCAATCATTTCAAGAATAAAATAAAATGGGGAGGGCAAGATGACTTCGGATTTGAAAAGACTGAATAAATATAGCCCACCATGTTGACAATATTTTATGGAAAGACCGGAAGCGGAAACGAGATAAGAAAATATGGCGCTGCCCGGTGTAGGAAGTGAATAGTAAATGTAAAGCGAAACCATGTAAATAACCACATTATAAGATAGTTTGTTGTGCTGAATTCAAAATGAGGACAAAGGTATGATAGAAATTGCAATGCTCATCAAAGAATTTTGTCAGCTCTTTTGACAAAATGAGCAAATGGACATCTGCTTCTAGTCCGGAATTCAGCTGTTCAGTTTCACTAGAAAATTATACTATAAGTGACTAACAGTGAACACTTCTGTGGTGGCATTTCCCAGAATTACTTAATAGTCTTGCAAAGTCCATTGCATATTGATCAAAGCATCAGCAACAATTTATCTATTTCATCTGTTCTGCACAAATTTTTCTTTTGAATTGTCATTTACTAATATTAGTAAACAGTAAAAATAAACATATCGCCAGATCATATGTTTTCGTACATCATATGAATTCGTACTATGTATGCTTTTTTCAATGGAAATTGTGACGTCACAATGCATTCTAATTAGCATGAAAACCTATAATTCGAGGATGCAGCTAGTCCTATAATATTAGACTTCGTAGGTCCATATCGTTTGCATTCAATGTTTTTTATCGGATATTTTATTTTACTATCAATGCTGAACCACGTGATATGGACCTACGAAGTCTTATATTATAAGACTAACATGCAGCATGAGATACACTGACAATATATATTTGATCCTCCTAACAGAAGATCCTCTGGCTAATAGAGATGGACTGACTAGTCATTCTTCCGTCCTAAAATTGGTCACCTTTTAAAATCAAGCTTTTACTTAATATCTGTTGTTGATGTCATTTTTTCTTATCGCTGAGAACAGAAATAAAATTGAGTGTCTACCATTCAATTTGACTGTCATGACTGTAGGTTATCAGTAAAGGGTTTAACTCTAGGATTATTAGAGAAACATAACATACATTTGTTAATGTGGACTAAAAAATCCAAAAACTGTGATAAGATATGTATGTTACATGTTTCAAAGGGCCAATATACATCCTTTGTTTTGTTAAAATGTATGCAAGTTCTATTGATATTATTATTGTCTTTATGTATACTAAACTATAGAAAAAGACAACAGTTTATATTTTGCCAATCATGCATAGTACACCTACATGTATGTACACCAGAAAAAAGATGCCTGTAATAACTAAAGGGTGTTATTACAGCTTCTCTACATCACTTCAAAGCCTTTGCTCAGACACATATCATGCTTAATCACAATGTATTGTAATGTATTGTAAGAAATAATGATCAGAGCATGTACATGTAATGAGGTTCTGCTCAAGATTCCAAGTAATTCCCAAATGTCTCATATAATAAGTTACATGCCTGTAATAACTAAGCCTTGTTATTACAGCTAAGTTTATCCCTTAAAAGCCTTGTCTCATTGATTTACCATGGTTGATAAAAAATGTATTGATTTAATTGGAAAATTAGTTATCAAGGCTATGTATTAAGTTACTGCGCAAAGTTTAAAGAATTCCCAAGTGCCCACTAAAATTTAAAATATTTATGATTTATTTAACAAATAACAAACATATGTTGCTACAGATTAAGAAAATTTAAGGAATAAAGAGTAGACAACTCATGAAATTATCTGTAATAATATTTTCTCTAATAACCCTATAGAGTTATACCCTTGACTGGTTATGTGTTTCTGGAGCCATTGAAAAACACAAATGAATGAAAAAACACAGCATTTCGATTATTCACTGGGAAAATTGATTTAGGTTTGGTAGCTTTAATATTCCTCTTTGGTGTCTTGAAAATTAAATCAAATCAAATCAAATAATTTTATTGGTGTAAATTCCAATACAGGAATCATTCGACGCGACACAACTGATTGCATGAAATATTTCACCAAGAAGTCCACACGCGTTACCCTGGTGCTATCCAAAAATCCTGGGGAGAACACTGGAATGATACCAGCTGACATTTACAAAATACGAATACAAAAATAAACAAAAAACAAAGACAAATATATACAAAGATGTATTTTCTCAATGATGAGACGTACATGTATATTTTATAAACTACATTGCGTGGAGGTATTATACTACATGTATGTGTTATCAAGCTATTACAATAAGCGTATGTAATATAAATCGTTGTGAATGTGCTCCTTATTAGCACAATATATATATAATCATTAATAATTGTGACAATGCCTTATGAGATTGATTTATGTTTATGCTGAGATACAATGAAACAACCCTGTGGTAGATGTTATTCTTCTTTTTCTTTCATATATTGCCGACATTTAACATGTTGCATATATATTCTGGCAATTTGATTCATTATTATAGCCAGATTACACCCCTTTTGTTTTTTCAACCTTCAATAATGCAGGTTACATCAATTTTGGTTGTCACAATCAGGGAAATTTGTAAAATAGATGGATTAAAACAATCATATATAAATAACATGTAATTTTGAATGAATACTATCAAAGACACATACATTTTTTTAATTTTTTTCTCCACATATTGGTGCATATATACAGAAGTGATTATAATCTTGTTCAATAAATCTAGTTCAAGCATAATAATATATATAGGATAATTTGAAAGCTGTAGTGTATTTGTATTTTGAGTCCTTGGTTGATCAAAGTAGCCTGTGATTCATGGCTTCCTTCCTACACAATACTATCAGACTTCCTGGTGTCCGGACTCTCCACTGGTGTTGTGTTTGTGTTTTGTTGGGGATTGTTGTATATTAGTTGTATCTACTATGTTAGTGACACATCTTCATTTATCCTATAAGGAAGTAGACACAAATTGCACTGTGCCCTCCCAGCTCTTGTTTGGGTGGAGTGGTGCTTCATATAAACATACATACATTGATTAAATTTATACATAGACATGATAGATGATCTTATTTTTTTTTTTATAAATGTATAATATTTATTGCCCACATTCTCCAAAAAGTATAAATCTTTTGTCTGTAATTTTTGAAAGTTATCTCTAAAATTTAATGGACAATGCAAGAAAAGGTACATTTTAAATTTTTTTAATTTATGCTAATATTGTAGTCAAACTGAATTTATGTATAAATGGACAGAGAATTTCAGTCATGACAGTAAAATGAGGAAAACCGAGTTTCATTCTTATATTACATGTATCTATATAGATCTTGCAATTGCCTTGTAAAAGTTTGCAGAAAAAGTATATCTTGATAAGTTGAAATGTAACAGTGTATTGGAGTGTTTGCCTCTGAAATATCTATTTTTACTGTTTTTATGCAGTGTTTGGATGCTATCTCAAAAACTATAGGAGCTATGAAATGTAGGCTGTTTTAAAGCAATTACCAATAAAAAAAAAATTATTGTGTGCAATCAGCAATCCCATGAATGTTTAAGGTCCTCATCTACTTACACATTGTTCTATAAAAACATGTAAAAATGTTGCCTCAAATTTGTATACACATATTTATTGTAATGAGTCATTTGATATGTATAAATATGTCGAATCAATATTTAAAGAAATGGGGGAGGGATGATTTTAGATTATCTCACTTTGGAAATTTAATGACATCATATTGTACATTTTCATATTCATTGGAAGAGGTTAAACAGCGGCAGTTTAGGGGGTCCTTATGGAAGTTCATATATGATTAATGGCTAGAATTTTTACAAGTCCCACTCCTAATGTTTCCTTTTTCTTTAGGACCCCCTTTTTTGAAAATTCTTGATATAACTCATAAGTCAAAGAGAACCTGGAGAAGCTGACTGCAGTCACACTTAAACACACTTTTTTTATGAAGGCTATTCCAGAAAAAAATATATGGGTTGGGTTGGGTTGGGTTGGAAGGCGCTTAAATTATTTTTGTATGGGTGGGGGCAGGTCAAATTGTGTGGTTATGTATGGAAAGTAAAATAGAAAAATAAGCGCCTCCAAAACCACCACCCCCCTATATAGAAATTATTATGAAACTTTGGTAGAAGCTTCTTCATAATTAAGACATGTAAGAGAAAGCAAACTTTCTAATTTTCTTTTCTTTTTTACCTAATTTTACTGATAACATGGATAAATGGACTTAGTTTATGCAGTCAACATTACACTTTCACACTGACAGCACTAAATGCAGATGAGACACATTTCAGTTGAACCCTTATCAAATATTTAGAAGTTGGATTACTGTTTATCAAGGTTTTTACTACATCTTTCTATCATGTTCTATTATCATAATTTTGTCAATCTTGCTTATTGAAGTTGGGTGAGTTACACCATGTATAAACATGATAAATTTTCTCATTTCCTCTAGTAATTGCATATATTTATACATAACTGACATTTCTTTACTGTTTCATCTTTTTAAGAGTCTTTTTAAAGAGATAAATATACATTATACATATGAATTGAAATTCACTTCCTTTTGCAGAAAACTATTAAAGGAATGTCTTTATTTTGATTTCAGATACAAGATATTTAGAATTGTAAAGGAAAATGAAAAAGAAGAGAGAAATGCAAAAATTTTCAACATGGGAATTTTTTCTTATAGCAAACATTATCAAGTATGTCTGAATATGTGAACCCCAAAACAAGTGTTCGTCAATTGGATGCTGGTCAGATGGAAAATATTCGTAAAAAATTTGAAAATACTGCAGAAGGTACTAACCCAAGACCTCCAATTAGTCCTAAGAAAATTCCTAGACCAGTATCATCTGCCTTGTCAAATTCTAGCAATGTAAGCCCAAAGAGGACTCTCCCAAAACCTGCATTGACATCACAGAATGGGAGTAATGAAAAGGAGGAATTGAAATCAACGCGTGAACAAATTTTACATAAACGTAGACCTAGTAGTGAATCTCCAGCAATCAGTAAATTAGTTCAGAATTTCAATGAGGGTAATGCACAGTCTTCTGGAAAGTTAAAAACCGTTCATTCAGACAATGATATCGCCTCTGAAGCACTGCGACGGAATCCTGTATCAAGGTTCTCTCCAACAAGGCCAGTTTCTGTTGCAGAAAGAACAAAAAGGTTTGAAAGCATAGACAATACTGAGGATACTAATGTACCAGGTCAGTCTACAGTTTCCTCATTACGACCAACTACTATTGCTAGAACAAGATCACAACGTATCAGTTCTTCATTAGAGGGTACAGAAGATGACCATAATGTCTTTAAACGAACACCTACTGCAAAACCCAGATCTCGACCAGTTAGCTCTGAAGTGGACTCTAAGGATATGAAACCAACACCACCAGTTAAACCTCGTTCTCGACCTCCCAGTCAAGCTCAGGATGATGGTGATAATGAATATGGTGCTGTTTGGGAGTCTGGACCATCAGTTCCAACTCCTCCTCCTGTAAAACCTCCACGGACAGGTGCTCACGATGATTATATGAAACTTAAAGATTTGAACATACAAGACAAACAAATATCTCAGGAAAAATTTAAAGTGAAACATCATTATGAAACAGTTCCAGATGATTTTATTCAAAATGCACCAGTTTATAAAAAAATTAACAAATCTGAAAATGAAAATAAAGATAGTGTTTCAAAACGACCTCTTAGACCAAACAGACCCCCACCTCCCAGAGACAAACCAGATACTGTGGCAACTAGTACCCCTCAGAAATCAAATTCCTTTTGTAAGAGGGAAAAGCCAGAAATACCAAAAAGACCAGCAGGAGAAACACTCACTGGTAATGTATCACCTCTGTATGAGGAACTTGATTTAAAAAATACAAAATTTGATCTGAGTAAGATAAAACATTGGGATTTACCTGAAGATAATTTATTGGAAGGAAGTGGCAGCTTAAAAAGAAGTTTTAGTGCTGAATGTTTAAGAAGGGACAGCTTTTTTGACGATCCTATCTATGTGGATCCTATTAAGGTTAACTTCAGGGATGACACAGATTTTGATGTTTATGTTGATCCATCAGGTTATGCAATACCCTACAGACATAAAAAAAGACTTCAACAAACAGCTTCCACACCTGCGGTAAGTTTTAACTAATTTGGATTACAGCTTGACACATTGTAAATCCATCATAATTTGCTTTAACTGCTTTGATAGAATATAAATTGTAAATTATGCCTAGGCCTACTGTGAGGGGCGGTAGGAGGGGATGTTATCCCGAACTTGAAAAAATAAAGTATGCTTTCCCGGATCCCATAAAATTAATCATTAATTCCCTAGTCCCAATAGGTGTAAATCCCGAATTCCCACGAAAATAAAGGCCCAATCCAGAATTCTTGCAAAAATGAAGGTCTAATCCCGACGTCCCGAAAAAGGTTCTTCCTCCCCTAGGCCTCTACTATCCTTATTTTTGTGTACAAAAACACATGGAAAAATGCTCTTTTTTTCCAATGTTTCTTCATTTGCACTGTCATATTCTAAATCAGCATGATCAGTGTTGCTTCAAAGGTGCACTTTATATTGACATGTACATTGTAAACCAAGGCAATGCAAAATTATGCATAGATTTGGAAGGTGTATAGACTTTTATAACTTAAAGTTCTGTATTTTGGACAAACCTGTAAACCAAGAAATTTTTATTTCATTCAAATGAAAAGTTTAAGAAATAAATTTCATCACCAAAATTGCTTATTTTAGTAAAATTTGTCAGTTATTCATGTCCTATACATGCTTGGTCAAAAATGGCCATTTACTCATAGTTTTGGACCAAATTATATATGAACCAGTCAGCCTAATTAAATTCTAAAAGATGATTTACATGTAACCACAACCATGACAACGAAATCTTTGTATAAATATCTTTTTGGGTACGGATCTGGCCCTTATCTAAATATTTATCAGTCTAGCTATCATTTTTTGCCTATAAAGTTATTACAAAATGTTTTTAGCAGTTGTTAATGTACAGTAGAAAAAATCATGAGTTATCTCCTCTTTCTTTAATAAGTTGGCTTCAGCTGTAAAAATACCTATCATTTATAAAGCAAAACAATGTCACCTGTATTAGCACTCAGTTGTTATTCCAGTAATATGATATTGTTAAAAGGACTAATTTCTGTCTAACATGTCTAATTTTCAATTTCTTGTTTCATGAATTAGCTATATTTTTGTTTCAATGTTTCTGTTAAAACTAATTTGACAGGTTTTGAGAAGTTAAAACACTGAATTTGAGTGATTTTTCATTAAATTATTTTCAAATAAAAAGATTATTAAGAGAACATGCATGCTGGCAATATTCAATATATATTATAGAATGAAATTAAGAAAAACATTTTTTAGCAAAAACTTAAAGTTTCTGTGCAAGACTTTTGAAATGAATTGGTGTCAAACATACATAGAACAAGTTATCTGTAATAAAACCTTATATGATAATACAGAAATTATTCATTGTAAATCACTGATACATTGTACCAAACTTGTATAATTTTGTTATATAATCATGCATTATTTCAGAACTTTTGTCTAGACAGTTTGATTTAACATGATACTTTCATGACTTTATAAAGGCATAGCACTAGCAGACATATGTTACTATAGGTTGACAAAAAACTAGCAGATAACATGAACATTTCTTTCATAATAACAACTCCCAGATCTATTCTGTAATAACTCTATAATGGATTATGTACTTGACTGTTAATCAAAAGATCTCAAAACTTAAGCTATTTTTTGCAGTTTTGCATATCATGCAAGAAGTTGCATGCCCCCACAATGTCTAAAGCAAATATGAAAGACACACGATTCAAAAATATGAATACTTATTTCTGATAGAATATAATGAAGAAAATTTTATTTTCCAATTCAAAGGACCCAAAAAGTCACTTTATTATATATCTTTTCCTTTTAGCAATTTGTTGTAGAGTTTAGTGATTTCAATTGCAAGAAAATCCTTTTATGATTAAACTTTCAAGTAACGCATTAACTGGCTAATAAGTAGTTATTAAAAAGAAAATGAAACATTATTGATATTTTATCGATTGTTTATTCAATATACATTGTAATGTACATGTATATAATGTAAACCAACTAATTTTGATTGTGATTAATTTTGTGACTTTTGTGAATAGAAAAATTATGTTATTATAAATGAACTCCAAAATGTTAAACTTGAATCTTGACTATATAAATATGTAAAGAAAATAAGAAAATCATTTGAAAAAAACACTGCAAAGTCATCCAAAAAGGGCTGAACTCAAACTAAAATATCTGCAGAACTGTGTAGGTTAACAGTATATATGATTAGCACACAGTTCAACAATTTCATCTGATTCAATTGGTACACATATTACAGCAACCAAAGAAAAGTAAACTGTACCGTCAGTTAAGCATGGTAGGTATGGGATAATTGTTTCCGTTTAGTACTAACCTGTGACACCATTGTTTAGTTTTTTGTGAACCATTTCTGCCATTGACCAGATATATATATTATGCTTGTAAAACATTGTTTGATAGTTCTGTTATTTCTGTTAGTTTATTGTTTGTTTATTGTTTGTGTATCAACAAATTGTCCTTTAAAAAAAATTATAGCACATGTGTGTTTGCACTAACTAGCTCAGTATCTAAAAAAACATAGGTTGATAGGCAAAACTGTTTTTCAAAATCTGTTACTAATTATAAAATATTTCATTTAAAGTGCTTACCAAATAATTTTATAAAAAGCACAATCATGACAATGATGAGATTTTTTTTGGAACAGCTAACAGAAAATTTTTTCAAGGCCTCCTGAAATTTTTTCCAGCAGTTGGATCATGATTTCTGTAATCATTGGTAGCCTTTGTTTGTTTTGTGTCTTTAAGTTGCTGTCTCATTGACATACCAAAAACCTCCTCTTATTCATATAACAAAATATAAACATATATTTTTTCCAATCAATCGTTACTCATCACATTTTATAAGATATAACCTCTGCCATCTTCTCTGCACAGTAATTTTATCTAGAAATATGATTCATAATTACTCCATTGGACTTTGTTGATACACATTTTGCCAGTTTTTGAAATATCCATTGGACTTTGTTGATACACATTTTGCCAGTTTTTGACCTTGCTTATAGGGTACTGGAAATTATAGTGAAACTTTAAAATACCTTAATTGGTTGTTTTTATTATTAACATGTTTAGTTTTCTTAATTGAATTGTTTCATATTTTTCATGTCAGGGCCTTTTATAGCTGTCTATAAGGTACAAATGTATGGGTTTTTCTCATTGTTGAAGACCATATGGTTGCCTATAATTGCTTAGATCCACTTCATTTGAACTTTGGTGGATAGTTGTCTCATTGGCAAACATACCACATCTCCTTTATCATGTTTATTTTTATATTAACATGTTGTTAAAAGCATGTTTATTAATAAATAGCAACATTACTACACATTGAAGAAGTGAATTTAATTAGTATATATATTTTTCAATAGCATATTTTAGTCTAAAATTTAGTGGCAACTAACCTCTAAAGTATCATCAGCATATTTTAGTATAAAATATTCTGACAACTAACCTCTGAAGTATCTGCAATATATTTAGATTTCACCACGTCATACTGAGATATTGTTTGTTTGTGAAAAAAGGTAAAAACCTGTTGCCAAAACATGTAAAATGGGTCATACTTTGGTACAAAAACATCCAATTGTATTTTCTTGTTTTTCTATTGAATAGCAATTACGAAACTTGCTCTTTTAGTTAGACCATGTAGACAGTAGCTGAGTATTGAGTTTTTGTTAAGATTTGCACAAAAAAATGCAGGTCAACTTTTTAAACATGTATTTTTGTCAACGATAACAAAAGAGATGGGAAAGATACCATCATCTATATAGCGGAACGTGAAGTTCAAGGATAATGCTAGCTTCCCTTTCCTAAAAATCTCCTGTATGAAGAAGCTTCATATGAATTAAGGAACAATTTGGCAAGAAGAGGGGCATAGTTGATTCCCATGGGAATGCTGATAGTTTGTTGAAAAACATGTCCTCCAAACATAACAAATATGCATATATATGTTGACAATCAAGAAATCAAGCATCTTGATAACGTTTTTATTTTTGGCCATGGCTTTGTCAGTTTGTTTTCAATCTATGAGTTTGACTGTCCCTCTGGTATCTTTCGTCCCTCTTTCAGAGAATTTTTTGTTTGAATCACAGTGGGTTTTTTACAATGTACGAATTATCACTCCCTAAGACAAACTACTTGGTATCTACATTGGCCATTTTTTTATGAAACAAAGTAGAACTAATTCTTTCAGGTTCTAGTCTTCTAGTTTGGAATGGGGAATACTTGTGTGAAGGGTAGAAAAGTCATAACATTTTGAATTATACATACATTATTGAGTATAAAGTAATGTTTTTAGTTTCCAAGTGTCTGCCAAATGAATTGTACCCTTCATCATGTTTTATGTATTTTATTTTTGGTCAACATTTCTTGCAACACTCATGGGTCATGATACTGCATCATTGACTTGAAGTACATACGTTTTGTAATGTACATTTAAGTCAGATTTTGAATATATACTTAAACTCAAGCAGCTAAGTCCAATTTTTCATCAGAATTCTGCAAAATGTGGTAAAAGCATCAAACTTGTTATATAAGCTCCTAGCACCATTCTAAGCAAAATAAGATATGGAGCCAACCTGAAAAAAATCAACATCCGGTTTTTTCCAAGATGGTGGACAAAATTGCAAAAATTCTAAACTAAATATCAAAGAAACCGTTCACAAGGTGGTAAAACAATGAAACTTTATATATTATCTCTTTAGACCCTTATTAACAAATAAAGATATGAAACCAATATGAAAAAACTATGAACTTCCGTTTTTTCCAAGATGGCGGCCGAAATAACAAAAATGTTAAAACAAGTCAAAAGGAAGTTGCAATATATACCAAAAAAATATATCAGATGAGTACAATTGAAAGTAATATATATACAGTAGCTGTTATATGCAATAACACGTTCATTCATCTTGTTTGTGTCGGTAAGGCCTATACTCTGCAGTCCATCAGGCACAATCTCCACCACACTTGCCTAAAGCTGTATTCGGAAGGGCGGATTTGAAACCCTTGCATTGTCCTCGACAACCTTTCTTGCATCCACAGTGAACAAGCTCCTGTAGTGAAGGGGTTGACTCTGCCAATATTGTCCAGAACAGGTTCTTACATACCGTTGTCTTGCTTTTTCCAACCATACAAGTCTGGGGATGGAAGAACAGGCTGTAAAAGCAAACACTGTATCCAAATCAATCCAGCTAGGTACACAGAACGTTTGGCATGGTGGAAAAGTGCCTCTCGTTTTGATGGTAGAGACTCGATTGATCTACCTTTACCTTTATGTACAAAGAGCATTTTTCTAGCTTCATTTACACTGTTGTATTCACTTATCTGATGGTACAAAAGAACAATATATCGCTCCAGCAATGGTAGAATTGAATCACTGCATATTGTCCTTGGTTGGTCTGCCATCTGTCTAAAAGCAGCTGACACCTCAGGGAAAGTATTCCATGTATCCCATGCTGTTTCTTTCCTCGTCCTGCAAATGAAGATACAATGTCGCAACCTGTAAAGGCGTGGAATATTGGTAACAGCCTATATTTAAGAGAACCCAAAGATTGTGCAATATCATGAATAGGAATGTAACGGAAATGTTTCCCGGTTGCAAATGTTATCCATATCTCATCAGCCTCTGTGTCCTTAAATACAGATATAGCGATCACAATTACGTCTGTATCCACAGTTTTAATGCTGACCTTTTTTAAACCATCCCTAAATGCATCTGCAAAGTGAAGCATAACTCTCGTAACAGTTTCTTCGTGTTTGCACGGTTTTAGTTTTGACTTGTCTATGTGTGCTTGGTTTGAAATCACATTCTCTCTAACTGTACAGATAACTTTCTTTTCAGTATTTGCTGCTTCTGCCAACCTTTTTCGATAGAAACTGAAACAGCTCCCTTTTATTCTCATCAACCCGTAGAAAGCAATTGCCAGTTCTTAGGGATATTTGTTTGAACCTGAACTCGCCTTCAAATTCCCTTCCCTCTTTTTTCTCTGATTGCACTTTTGAGGCTGTTTTCTACATATGTGTCCCATACTACATCAACGCGTCCAACATCTCTATTTCGGTTTACTATGTAGTGAAGAACACTTATACCGCATAATCATGAAATGATATGCTGCACCAGGCTTGAGCATATTGACTACTGCTGCACTGTCAATTATTGTTGCATTCACTTGAGGGTTAACTATTGTTTTAGATATTAACGGCTCAAGACATTAACGGCTCAAGACATTTTCTTGATAGATCTGACTTATCACACTGACCTATGGTCTCATTTTGACTCATGATGGCGGATTCTTCTGGTTACGGCGAAGATAAACTCTTCAGTTTGTTTGGAGGTCTTCATATCGAGATGGCCATTTTAAAAAACTATTGGCGATAGGCTGGAAGCGTCAGGTTGGACCAATGCTATTTCTTTTATGCGGTAAAAGTGTTTGTTCCCTACATAGTAAACCGAAATAGCGATGTTGGATGCGTTGATGTAGTATGGGACACATATGTAGTAAACAGCGTCAAAAGTGCAACCAGAGAAAAGAGAGGGAAGGGAATTCGAAGGCGAGTTCAAGCTCAAACAAATATCCCTTAGAATTGGCATGACTTTCTACGGGTTGATGAGAATAAAAGGGAGCTGTTTCAGTTTCTATCGGAAAAGTTGGCAGAAGTAGCAAATACTGAAAAGAACGTTATCTGTACAGTTTGAGAGAATGGGATTTCAAATCAGGAACACAAAGACAAGTCAAAACTGCTATCGTGCAAACACGAAGAAGCAGATATGATAGTTATGATTCACGTTGCAGATGCAGTCAGGGATGGTTTAAAAAAGGTCAGCATTAAAACTGTGGATACAGACGTAATTGTGATCGCTATATCTGTATTTAAGGACACAGAAGCTGATGAGATATGGATAACATTTGCAACCGGAAAACATTTCCGTTACATTCCTATTCATGATATTGCACAATCTTTGGGTCCTCTTGAATCCATGCTTTTACCAATATTCAACGCCTTTACAGGTTGTGACACTGTATCTTCATTTGCATGCAGGACGAGGAAAGAAAACAGCAATGGATACATGGAATACTTTCCCCGAGGTATCAGCTGCTTTTTGACAGATGGCAGACCAACCACGGACAATATGCAGTGATTCAATTCTACCATTGCTGGAGCGATATATTGTTCTTTTGTACCATCGGACAAGTGAATACAACAGTGTAAATGAAGCTAGAAAAGTACTCTTTGCACATAAAGGTAGATCAATCGAGTCTGTACCACAAGAGGCACTTTACCAACATACCAAACGTTCTGTGTACCAAGCTGGATTGATTTGGTTACAGTGTTTGCTTTTACAGCCTGTTCTTCCATCCCCAGACTTGTATAGTTGGAAAATGCAAGACAACGGCATGTAAGAACCCGTTCTGGACAATATTGACAGAGGCAACCTCTTCACTACAGGTACTTGTTCACTGTGGATGCAAGAAAGGTTTTCGAGGACAATGCAAGGGTTTCAAATCCGCCCTTCCGAATACAGCTTTAGGCAAGTGTGGTGGAGATTGAGCCTGATGGACTGCAGAGTATAGGGCTTACCGACACAAACAAGATGAATGAACGTGTTATTGCATATAACAGCTACTGTATATATATTACTTTCAATTGTTCTCATCTGATATATTTTTTTGGTAAATATTACAACGTCCTATTGACTTGTTTTATTTTTATTTTTTTTGTTATTTCAGCCGCCATCTTGGAAAAAAACCGGAAATTGATAGTTTTTCATATTGGTTTCATATCTTTTTTTGTTGAGAAGGGTCTAAAGAGATAATATATAAAGTTTCATTGTTTTACCACCTTGTGTTCGGTTTCTTTGATATCTAGCTTAGAATTTTTGCAATTTGGCCGCCATCTTGGAAAAAACTGGAAGTTGATTTTTTTCAGGTTGGCTCCATATCTTATTTTGCTTAGAATGGTGCTAGGAGCTTATATACCAAGTTTCATGCTTTTACCACATTGTGCAGGGTTTTTCTGATATTTCCTGGACTATTTTACATTTACAGAAACTAAAATCATGAAATGAAAATAATAACAGAAATTTTATGTGGACTTTGTTTAAAATCATAGAAAATAAACATTTGGTGCAGCTTATATAAAAACAGTAACACATTAGGTCAATTTGTTATGAAAAAGGTACGAAAAAAAAACATTGTTATGCATTACAATGATGAGAAAATATGCTTGGATGATTATCCATGCAATGTGAGAAAAGGGATGTTTAGATTTATGCCAATAATATCTATTTAATTTTCTTTGATTTATTTACAGGAAGCCAGACCTATAAGTCAAGCAGTGAAATGCAAGCTGGGAAACCTGAGGAAGAGAATATTCAGTCAAGACACTCATCATTTAACTAAAGATAGAAAAGAATTTGACATTTCAAAGAATAAGAAGAAACTCCAAAGTGTATGTAAAATTTGCTGATGTCGTTATAATGACATCATTAATAGATTCTGAAACATTTATTTATTAGTTTGTGACTTAATTAGACCATGTAGACTATGCATATGTTATAAAGGTAAAAATTCATTTATGAGAGTGTTAAGTCTAATTGAGCATGTTGAGATCAAAAACACAAACTAAATTTGTACCTTAAAATATTCAGTATATGTTTTCATACAGATTGCATAAAAGAAGTGTTATTGCAATTATTTAAATATTCTAAATGAAGTAAGACAATTATAGGAAGCACAGTCACATGGTATTAGCAGGAACATATATATTAACAAGACTTGACACTACCTAATTAAAGCCGATTTTATCGTCATGTCATAGTTAATAAATGACACAATACAGAAAAGGATATGTGTATAATATGTACTCGCTATTCCCAATATAACCGAATGATGACACGTTATTTTTGTTTATATCAATGTTAGATATACTGTTCCCAGGTAGTAGTATAGGAAAAAAAAAAACCAATGTATAATGAATACATTGGGTCTCTGATCTACCCAAGATTGCATTAGTGATGGAGGGTAGTTGGGAAAACCAATGTATAAGTAATGAATAATGATTATTGTCTCCAGTCATTGTAAGTGTTTCAAGCAAAAATCTACCAGATGTACTTACATCTTTATGCTCTATTTTTGTTAAGCCACAGGTTGTTACAACATTACCTAAATACTTTTCATGCATTTAGAAATGGGAAGGACAGCCTTTTTATCGAAGGTCCCAAGATAATAATTTTGACAAATTATCTGAATTGTTTTAATTATATTATTTATTATGATTGCTACTTGTATGGAAAAATTACGTGTCATTGAGTTATTATTTTGTATGGTTTGATTGATGAAATGATAAAGCTTCTAGGTAAATTTATTCGTAGAAGTGTTTAAAGCAAAAACACAAACTGAAAAGATGTGCAGTAATAAGTATCTTCTGTTTTCTGTCTGACAAAATTAAAAAAAGAGACATAAGACTCCAAATGGACAATCAGAGATTATAAGTCAAGGAAAAACAGACAATACCATGGCAAAAATACAAAAATATGACAAACAACAGGCCACAAAACACAACATCTCAGGTGAGTTGGAAGGGTTAGTAGATGATGATTATTTAGTGACATGTTTTGTGGTGAGAAACAATGCAAGGTTATTATTAACATCAAATCTACATTAGTCTGTATCAATATTTGAAAGAAAAATGTATTGAATTTGTTTTTGCAGGTTAAAATGAAGATCAATATAGCTTTTGCAATAATGAGGAAAGCGAAGAAAACAGAAAATGAAGACCAAGAAGGAACCCAGAGTGCTGATTTAGGTTCTTGTAAGTCACTATATATATGAATAGAAATACATCTTTACTTAACGACAATGAGGTAGAAATCTAACAACACAAGTTTACAAAAAAAAAATCCCAGAGTAAACATATGCATTTAAATATAAGACATGTGCCAACAAGGGATGGCAATCTCTAAATCTTTATATCTAAAGTATACACATGCAGTGATTAAATAAAAAAGAAATGACCAAAGATTTGAAATCAACACTGACTTAAAAAGCAGAGATACCCACTGACAAGATTCCTTACTTATTACAGGAACAAGTGTGTGGTTACTAGTTCTGATTGGTGACAGAACAATTATACATTTAAAAAAAAACACAGAAAAAGTGTGTAAGGTGAAGTGAATAAACTTCTCAAAAGAATTATTTTAGATTCCACATGAATAGTTCTTGTTAGAAGTCACCAGAGAAATAAGGAATTTAGGGGTAACTGTTTTATTCTTTCTGAGATACAAGCCATTGGGAATTTATATAGGATGATACAACAAAGATATGAATTATTTATAGGGAAAACCAAGAAAAATCAGCAGATATATTTACCTTATCAGCATTTTCTTATTAACTAGTCCTACAAATTTATTTGAAAATTTTATATAAAATTGATAAATAAATATATGAAAATTTAAAGGTGCTTGTTTTCAAGGTATATCTGGTTTGAATTCTAAAGGAAAATGGTAATTTTGTTAGTCTTTTATTTCATATATAGAATTACTTTACATATAACACTGTTGTTCCAAAGCATATAATAAGTGTGAATTTGCATATGCCAAACTGCTAGTGATGGAATTAAATTTTGAATCTATGTACTTTAATAAAACACTTCAATTCGCTTTTAAATAGCAATGAAATGACAGTAAATTCAGTAAAGTGCCACAATAACACACAACTTTGCTATTTGACTCATGCATGTTTAAAAATTATATAGAGCACAACCATTGCCCAAAAAGAAATTTACGGAAGTAGTATATTTTTAACCTAGCTATTCACTGCTATTATTGGGCAGTGCTTGTGCTCTATGTTAAATTATCAAAATATTCCTACATTATGCCAAGTTAACAAAAAACACCTCTTGATAATCATGATAATGTCACTTTAATGCATCCCAGAGAGAGTGTACCTTCTATAAGCTTATATTCACATTTTCTATAGGCCTTTTCATGAAGTTTGAAAACATTTTGATTAATAATTATCTTACATTTTATATTTTTTCCAGTGAACATGGTGAATTTGCATGAAAATTTCAGTATAATTTTTAATAATTTTGATTTAATTACTTTTTGGAAAAGAGCCACATTACCTAAATACTTAATGTTAGAATGGGAAAATTACAATGGGGAAAGCATCTAAATTTACAGGAATTGTTTACTGCAAACCAACTTATTTTCTTAAATACTTTTATTTTTGTGTTTAGCTTTTTCCAGCAGATTTTTTTATTTGATTGGGATGAAAAGAGATGTTGGATATATGACATTGCAATAGTAACCAAAAGACATTTAGAGGTCAAAATACAGTCTTCAAAAACAGACAGTTGTCTATATAATAAGTCAATCTCTAAATCACACCATGTAATGTTTAATTATAAGAATAGTTTAAAGTTCAACATCTTCAGGAGGATTTATATTTGTAATATTTGTATTAATTTTGACTCACAAAAATTGTTTAAATAAATCTCTAGCAAATATTAGTAGGTTTAACAATATTTTTATACTTGATGGGGATTTGAGGATATTTTAGAAAAGAATATTTAAATTTACATCAAATTATAATTTCAGTGGAGTCTGACAGTTTGGTTGATGAAAAGGAAATTGAAAAAAGGAAAGATTATTGTAGTGTTGTTAGGAGGAATACAGTTAGTATATACACATTTGTATCACACACAGAAAGAGAGCATAGATAATGCTTATGACTTGTGGCAATAAAGACGCTTAAAATTGTCATCTTAAATATTCATGCAGTTAATTGTACAGAACATGAAAATTATGCTGTCTTTTGTTTTATTGATTTTTTTGTTGGTGTTCAGATGCACAGATGCAAGTACATCATTTAGAAAATTGTCTATTATGACGGAAGACTTGAAATTAATGACGGAAGACTTGAAATTAGAAAAATAAACAAACTAAACTGAGATTTCAACAGAGCAGGAACTAATTCAAACACAACATCATAGAAAACATACACCATGTTCAAATATTTCATAGGGAGGAATGTTTGTGTCATCATGAAAAGTTAAAAGAGATAGTTTCACTATAATCTCAAACACAGAAGTTAACAAGTATGAAAGTCATGCTTTCTGAACAATAAAGAACTCAAGAAACAATCTCAAAAGGATCTGTTGTTGACCTGTTTAAAAGCTACGTTTATTACCATCTCAATGCAGTTCTTAATTCTGCTTCCTGTCAGAATTATTCAGTATCATATGTAATTTACAAATCAGGGATTCCTCATTGTATGAAGTTTAAGTTTGTTTTGGTTGAGAACAGACATGTTCCTTCAAAATACCTCTGTATCATGAATGTTGATCTAAGTAAAACAACTGTAAAACTAATAACATTTTGGGTAATCAAAATAATGTGTTGATTACAGGCAAAGAAGAGAAAAGACAACAAACAAGCCCAGTCAGTAGCCTATCCTCAGTTGTTTGACTTTGCATTGATCGTCGGTCTTGAGCCGGTCTCTGAAGAAGGTGGATACAGGCCGTATATTATATACAAATTTCCTGAACAGGTATAAATACTACAATTCTGTTTTTAAAGATTTTCTTTAATGAACTGCTTACTGTCTAAAGTCAAAGATTGTAACTGACCTTTTATTTATTGCAAAGTTTATTTAAGCAAGGAAAAGTTTTCATCATATTGGTATCAAAAGCAATAATCAAGTGTTATGAAACTTTATAGTGTAGGAATGAAATTATACTCCTAGGCCTAAAACGAGCTGTGTGCCTTCTGCTTAATAACAATTATGGTTGATAGTTAATAATAAAAAAAGTCATATAGATATGTAAAGTCAAGGATCTTGAATTTCATATTGCTTATTATTTGGGGCTACATTTTGTGAAAATCAATCGTGTGTTTGAATCATAAATTTGAAAGAACTTTGTTGTCTGGTTGTGGTGATGGTTTCCATTTTATATGTGACATCATCATCTTGTGTTTACATTGTTGAACATATTTGATAAAAAAAAAAACTCTTTCAGTGAATGTTTTGTTTAATTTACATAGTGTGTAGCTGTAGCCCAAATTGACTACTAATATTAGTTAATATTTTAACTGGATATAAATTGTAGTAAACTTAAACCTTTCATATTGACAAATGCTCACCGTGTTATTTCTTTCAAACTTTATGAAAAAAATAGCAATAAGCATTCAAGGTAAAACTGTATTATTAGTTAATATTCTAGGACAACAAAGATTTTATACATGTACGTGCAGGGAATATAATATATGTACAAATGATAATACATAAAGGTAGATTTATTACCTCGTGAAACAATAGATATTATATGAATGGAAATAATTCCAAAATAGAGACATTTTGACCCCAAAATATAATTTCTGCTCAGGATTGGTACCAAAAATAGACAGTAGGATGGGAAAGGAGAAAAACTTTCAGTATTATTTTGGATCTTTATCCTTTTTAAAGTCATTATTGCTTATCATATTTCTTTTATTTTGTTAAATAAGTTTGGGAATCAATCAAATTTTCCTTCTTTAAAGTTTTTATTTTATTAAGAAGTGAGAATTAATTTTTAATACATTTAGTTATTAATATTTGAAGAAATGGTTGTAGAGATTACCAAGGAAAAAAATGAGAGATGGTTTGAATAATAGCAACTTTTTTTAAACATGTATTCTTTTACATTTTTTTATTCTTACTACTGAAAGAGGAACATCAAAATAACTAAAAATGGTCAATTGATATTCTGTTCTTGTGGGGTAAGTCAAATTATGTTCTTGTTGGGTAAGTCAAATTACGTGCATGTTGTTCATTGGATTTCTAAGTTATCAACAAATCTGAGCACCTGTAGTGTTATTCCTATCACACAGCTACCTGATCATGAAAAGCATCTAGAAAAATCACTGATCAGAGTTAAATTCAAATGACACTAATGTGGATTTCATGCATGTGTGTAAAACATATGTTAAACATATTTGTCAGTTTGTTATTTTACATATTTGTTGTTTCAAATTGTTATGATTGTCATTGTTGATGGTCTTTTGTAAGTATTGAATGCATAGTTGTAATTGTATATGTACAATTTGTGATTTATCTCTCAATTGAACATTTTACCATTCAGACATGAGAAATACAGTCATAGATGTAAAACATAACCTTTTGCTGTTTGCAAAAATTGTTTCATGATTATCTGCTTGTATTATGATCGAAAAGTAATATTCAAATTACAGATAATTTTACAGTTCATTTTGATGTCCACTCTATGGTCCATGTCATAGCAATATTGATTTCTTCAGATAAAAAAAGACAACTGACTGGCATGAGTGAATAATAATTATTGTACAATAAAAACAATATATTAAGCTCAATATCAGAAAATCTTTTAAAACAAATTATTTCCTACTAAACCAGGGGTGTGGAAATATTTGTTGTAACCACTTGTCCCCGGGCAAGTGAAATTGTAAATTTTACATGTCCGGAAGAAAAGTTACTTGCACTGATTTCTTAATGAATTTTGGAATGAAGAAAATGTATTTTACTGTAAATGTGTTTGTTTCTAAAACAGTTTTGAAACACAATGAAAATGCTATTCGTTGTCTTTGTTTGTATATTAGAATTATAAAAAAGATTAGTAGAGTGTACACCAAGCTCAAAATTTATAATGACATTTCCGGTGTATAGTTGCTATAACCTGATCGACAATCCTGGATCAATGGGAAAAAAAATGAAACCCGGGTGCGCATATTTATTTTATGTTGATTGATAATCGATCTATTTCTTGATCATTGAAGTTTTTTTTACTTAAACATGTTGCTTTCGTCTTGTTATTTGATATTTTTTCTACTTTGATGAATAAATTTTGAGGACTTTTCTTTATAGTTATATAAATTAAAATTGTCAAGCAAAATCTTTTTTACTTGTCCAAGGGCAACAAAGACACAAAAAATTGCTTGTCCGCTCTGTCAAATGTATGAGTCGGGCGAGCCAGGCATAGCATTTCCACACCCCTGTAAATACATTGAAATAGTAAAAAAGAGCTTGACAAATTCACTTTTATTTTTACTATTTCTTAAGCTCATACAGTTGAATTGATATTTTCTAGAAATGTATATATATTGTAAATATATTTTTTTAAGCTATTATGTTAACTGCAGAGTGTAAACACTGAAGATCTGTAGATAAAGAAATGTTCTGAATGTTGAAATCTACCCACTGTCTATTTACACTATAACTGTCAGGAGACTTCTTATAGGAGTTATTTCCCTTAATTGATAATATCGACTTTTTTTTTCTTTTTTGCCTATTATCTTAAGAACAATAATTGATAAAAACTTTTGATAGCAAATATTATCAGCAAGAGAAGACTTATATATATAGGAGTTATTGCCCTTGAATGACAATTTTTACCCAATTTTTGTATTTTGGCAAACAGTTTTGATAGAGAGACAGTGAAAACAAAAAAAATATCAGCAATAATAGACCAACAAAGACATGAAAGAAGGCATCCTGTTTATAATTATATTGTTTTCAATGTTGAAAATGCACATAGATCAAGGTGAGCTCGCCTGCAGGCTCTTTAGGGCCTCTAGTTTAATATTTCATCTTGACAAAAGAAGATTGCAAAAAGTACATCTTATATATGTCTTCATCAGTTTATTTTTACAAATGACAAAATTACAAGCCCAAATATAATTTGGATATTTCCATTATTTAAACATAGCCTACACATATAGTGTAACAAAAGCAAAATTTGTTTCAATTTAGTGTGATAGGATATGTTTACTTTATTGACTTTGTTTGAATTCCTAACTGAGTGCTTCATCTATTTGATTTATATATATAGGATTGACTACATGATTTTAGTAGATATACCCCAGTATTTAGGGGAACATTATTTTTGACTTTAAATGATTTCAGCCTGCAGGAGAAGGAGAGGTAAACTTAGATTATTTTTTTGTTAAATCAGCATAATACCTGCATCCATATAAATCCTTATTTACTCAGGAAATATAGATAAACATGAGGTTATCTCCCTTATTTATATCTGTATTGATGACATATTTTTGCATTTATGGTGAAAGAATAACCAACTTGCATGACAATGGGAACTGATTAATATTTTTTATCGCTGTTAAAATTTTATTTTTTGTTTCTGTTATTCCATACAAAAGGAATTTTACTAAGATTCCTTCATTGTATGTTATAAATGGCCATTTAATGTTAACTTCTGTAATGATCAAACCCCTATGTAGGCTGAGCAGTTAAGAAGGTAGTAGAATTGTAGCCTGACATAAAAAAAGTTGCAGACTCAAGTCCTAAATAACCAGTAAAATAATATATACATCAGCTACATGAGCCTTACATGTTTCATTTAACCAGTAAGTTTAGCCTGTTTCACATTGTTTTTATTGAAAACATGAAGATCATTGGATACCTTATTATAATGATTTAATGATCAAATATGCATGTTAAGAAAAAGGTCAACTTTAAACCTTGGTAATGGCACAATTAAATTTAGTTTTGCATGATAAAAACCTTTGCATATGATTCAAGAATGAGGCTACTAATTTTTCAGATCTGACTAATTAACCTGTTAATTGCCAGGTACAAAAAAAAGGAATGAAAAATTTTAAGTATTATGTGTAAGAGTAAAGGGTCACTTTTTTGTTTCACCATTTACAATATTATATTAATAAATGCAATGACAAGTGTATATAGAATCAGCATTCTAGATTTGTATTGAACATGTAAGTAATTGAAGTGTTTAAATTGCTAGAATATCAAGCATGGTATTGTATTTAAAAAATATAGAAAAAATAGTACTTTTGTTAGTATCAGGAATATTTATTCATGTATCATACAATATGCAATATTATTCTAAATGAGATAGACTTTTTGGCTTTATTTTCAACTCACCTGGCAAATAAAGCCAGATGAGATGGAATCACTTGGCATCTTTGGTCCACGTGGACACTTTTAAAACATTTTCTATTTGAAAACTATTATGAAGCTACTGGACCAATTTAAACAAAACTGTCAACCTTTAAGATGTCACATCAGATGCTCCTGCAAACCTGCCAACAAGGAAGCTATTACTGAAACTAAAACATAAATAAGGAAGAATCAATATTTGAACCATCAGATATAAAACTCTGATAGGGTCAAGGAATTTAGAATTATTTTATCTAATGCTTAGGAATTTTGCTGTCAAATTTCGCCTTACTTTGCAAATCTGGCATAACTTTGCTCAATTAATTTTGAAAAAACCCATCTGAATTCTGAAACTTCTAACCCATAATGAGATTGCCCTTAGATGGTACCTCTTGAAAAATACATTGTCTCTGATTTGTCTGTCTTCAACATGTTCAACGAAAAAGTACAATTGTGAATTCAGGAAAAAAAATTCTTAAACAATAATTTTTTATGCAAATTGAGGTTCAGCATTTGAACAGTAGCAAGAAATGGGATTGTCTTGCATATTGCATAGGATTATTTTATAAAAACCTGAAAAATTCTATTTACTGAGGTTGAGGATAGATCTTCATTTATTTAAGTTGTGAAAATAAAATTGAGAATGGAAATGGGGAATGTGTCAAAGAGACAACAACCCAACCATAGAGCAGACAACAGCCGAAGGCCACCAATGGGTCTTCAATGCAGCGAGAAACTCCCACACCCGGAGGCGTCCTTCAGCTATGAAAATATGAATAACAGCTGAAGATACAGTATGACAAATTTTCGCCAAAGTCAAATATTGAAAACAACAATCAGACAGTACAATGATAGTTCTTTTTTTTTTTTAAATAAAAGGACTTATCAATTTTGTTTACATTTAATTCCAGATAGAGAGTAATATCTCCATTCCACAGTTCTGTTTTCCTGATGCATTAGAATTTGATGTAAAAACAGCTTCTCCTGCAGCACCAAGGTTTGTCTCATTATTTTAATGGGATATTTGACTTAGTAATAGTATTAAGTAACCAATACTATTACATATATCAAGTACATAGTTTATAGTGATATAGACTGCCTCAGTGATTAAGTGGTAGCATGCTTGCCTGGAGTGAGGAGATGCTAAATTCCATCCCTGGCCAGGCCAAACCAAAGACTTGAAAATTGGTTATTTGCTGCTTCTGTGCTAAACATGTGGCACAAGAGCAAAGATAGGTCAGCTTGACATCAGAATTATGTGTCCTTTAGGGTGATGTGTCTTCTTGTGAACTGGTACCTTCAAATTCTGGCTAAGCATGTCTGTCTACAACAAAGCAGTTTTCATATTCATATCACGTTACCTTGTTGTTCTGATATACATGTAAAATATGCCAAAACTAGACATTAAACAACAATCCATCTATCCATACATCATAGTGATATCGTCAATAAAGGCACAGGTCACTGTATGTCAGTCCAATGAGAGTAGAGTTATATATGACAAATACATATTATTATAAAGTGATTTTGATGCAGTGGACTATTAAATGATTCAATTCTAATTTGACAATTTTGATTATATTTGGTTTGAAAGCTCAATAATAGCTTCCAATACTATAGTTTATTTGAAGTTGGTCAATGATGTAGCAAACGTTTTAGCAAAGTTGTTTTTAATTGTGATATATTTGTTTGCAGTGAGTCTTTTTCCTTTGTACTGACCACCTTTGATGGACAACATGTATATGGATACTGTAAAAGACTTGTGGTAGGTTATTTTTACTTTATCCTCATGTGGAAGGCTGGAAAATAATGATATATATCATGTTGTGTAAAAATTTGATACAAATAAAAAATCCATACACAGCTGAAATTCTTTCTTTTAAACATGATGATAATAGTTTCATATTGAAATTATGTTGTAAATTGACTGGCATGTCATTGATACATACATAAATTTAGTGCACACTTCACATGTTTCTGGGACCAAAAGTTTGTGCAACCAAAATGCCTAAACAGAATATTTTTAAAATTAGATTTGCCTGAAGAAGTTACAACTTAAGCATAAGGACCATACAAAATATCTAATCTAAAAATGAATCATTGTATTTGGCAGAATATTGAACTGAGTTATAGACTTAAAGTATGACCAATGTTGTTTCTTGATAATAGACTTAAAGTATGACCAGTGTTGTTGCTTGATATTATCTCTTGACCTGAATAAAGATATTTGATTTTAAGATTATACATGTTAAAGGTTAAGATGACAACAGCTATATATAGACTTTACAGAGGAGTTGTGCTGAAAGCTCTATATTGTATAACAAATTATTTAACAAGTTTTTAATGCAAAATTCATGTGAAATAATTTTGACACATATTTGTGACTGTGAAACATTCTGATGAATGATATTGACATTGATCATTTACATTGAAATGTGTTTTATATGACATGCACCAGGACATAATTTAGCCAGCACAATGACTATTTAAGTCGATTTAAAAATTTGAAATCGCTCAAACTGGCTTCTGACTGACTCCATAGCAAAGTCATTTCGCCCTCAAAATCGGTATAAGGGAGACAACTTATGATTTACAAGTCGCACAGGTAAACAAAAATGGTAAAAATAAAAATTTTCAAAGTCACCAAGGACTTATACTGTTGATGATTAAATGAAATGAATACAACAGCAACTTTGTACCTCCTTGAATTCAACATTCAAAATCCTAGATTAGGCCCTTCATACACTATGTCTTAAAAATTAGAGAGATGGAGATGGAGAAGTGGCCTTGTATGACATCATAACTGCTGTTACTTTCACGTGGAGGAATGTAAATTACCTGCTTTTAGTTTTAGATTTCCTCAAATTTAAATGCTCATAAATGTTAATCTTCAAAATTCAAATTCATTGAAAAATTTATCAAAATAAATCTCTTACTTATCCTTTACTTTGTTAACAATTATGAATTCCTGGAAATATCATATAAATCAAACATTCAATCTTTTTTGGAGGAAGGAAGACCTCTATAGATTTTAAGGTTAGTGGGTCAAAGTGCAAGGTCTAGGGGCTATTTTAACTTCCTTTTGATAGGATTAGATATGTTTTAAATCAATCAGTCAATTTAACAATAGAATTTGTCTCTGAATAAGATAGTACATGTTATGAATGTAACAAAAACCCTATTTTTTGTTAGTACAATAATTATTATTGCAGATTTATCTTTTTCTACTACTGGTAATTACAGTTTTAAAGACGAACTCGTTCACACCTATCAAGCATTTGGATGTTCATACTGGGATATGTAACTACACTTGCTTATTAAGTCTCCCAAACGAAGTTTGGGAAGACTTATTGGTTTTGCTCAGTTCTTATTATTATTATTATTCTTCTTCTTCTTCTTCTTCTTCCTCTTCTGCCGCTTTTAAATTTGAACTTGTCCGCACCCGTTCTCCAAAACCGCTTGTCAGATTAACTTAGGATTTCACAATATGTTAGACTAACATGTCTAGTGGTGCAATCAGGGTTTTGTTTGTGCAATGGGGTTTATAAAGGGGTACTTTGAGGGGCAAAAAGATAGGAGGGTTTTACTATAGAACCCTATGGGATTTAATTTTTTAAAATTTTCAAATGATTATAAATTGAAAACCGTTTGTGATAGACACAATCTTTTTAATTGAAAATGTTCTAAATGATAAAGCACATTAAATGAAATACAGGGTTAGTCCCCAGGGGTCACCCCCACCCCCTGCCATTTAAGAAAATTCTAATATCTTGTAACTGGTCAAGATCCCCACCCCTAAACCATATATATTCTGGTTCGTCATGCTAAGATGATTTGAATGATAAACAGGGTTAGTCCCCAGGGGTCATCCCGACCCCCTGCCATTTGAGAAAGTTCTAATATCTTGTAAATGGTCGAGATCCCCACCCCTAAACCATATATATTCTGGTTTGTCATGATAAAGCACATCAAATGAAATACAGGGTTAGTCCCCAGGGGTCACCCCCACCCCCTGCCATTTAAGAAAGTTCTAATATCTTGTAAGTGGTCAAGATCCCCACCCCGAAACCATATATATATTCTGGTTTGTCATGCGAAGATGGTTTGAATGATATACAGGGTTAGTCCCCAGGGGTCATCCCGACCCCCTGCCATTTGAGAATGTTCTAATAACTTGTAAGTAGTCAAGATCCCCACCCCTAAACCATATATGTTCTGGTTTGTCATGCAAAGATGGTTTGAAAGATATTCAGGGTTAGTCCCCAGGGGTCGTCCCGACCCCTGCCATTTGAGAAAGTTCTAATATCTTGTAAATGGTCGAGATCCCCACCCCTATACCATATATATTCCTGTTTGTCATGTCTCGAACATTTGAATGACGTATAGGGTCAGTCCCCAGGGGTTCCCCCCACCCCCAATGTTCTAGTATCTTGTAAATGGTTGAGATCCCCACCCCTAAACTATATATATTCTGGTTTGTCATGTCAAGATGATTTGAATGATATACAGGGTTAGTCCCCAGGCATCATTAATGCATATAAATTTACTGGACCAAACCAATTTTCACTGGACTTTGCCTAATGTCAGGCGACCCTGGGAATTACGAATTATGGGAGCTTCGTTTGGGAGACTTCGTAACAGCATCCTGTTACAATCATTTCTTGTTTTATGAGCAGATGTGCATGTTTTTCTTGTAAGAATAGAAAATAATTACATTAGATACTTGTAGTTTATAAAAGTTTAAGATGAAAACATACTATATTTATTTCAGCCTATAGACACACCAGCTGGTTTACCAGAGGTTATTTGTATAGTTAGTCCTGTAGATGCTTTCTCAATGTATAATGATGTAAGATATACAATATTTATGTTTTGCTAAGTTTTCTGTGTTATATTTAAAGTTCTGTCTATTTATGGTGATGTTTAACGTCTTACTCAGGAATTAAATCCTTTTTACTGGACGTTAATATTTAAAGTAATAATAAATAAGAGAATATTTTGAAAGAAGAAACTACATTACAATATAAAAAGTCAGATGCATGCATTGACATTCTACCAAATATATACTAATTGTATGCTGATTAGGAATTCTGCCAATAAAATCTAAAGTATAATAATTACATGTACCGGTATATATGTTTCACGAGAATTCATTAGTTTGATTGGCTAACAACAATCGCGCGTCATTCCAAAATTAACCTTCATATCAAAATGAAATGCTACATTCGTGATGACACGTGCTTCTACAAAAAAGTGCACAGGTAAATGAAAGAAAAACTTGATAAAACCTTTTTTTCATGGTCTTATTAGCATAAAAATGTAATTATAAGAAATGAATGCTTCATTTTGTAATTTTATTGGGGTGTAAAAGTGTTGATTGTGCCCACATTTATAGAATGAAGCGCTTCCACGCTTTATACAAAATGTGCTTCGGTCAACACTTTTACACCCCAATAAAATTACAAAAAGAAGCATTCATTATTTTTTAATTGAAATTGTGGCAAAATAATTAAACATTTATTTTTGGTATTTCTAGTGATCACATTGGTATGATACAATCATGTTTACAGTAGTTTCATTATAATATGGTTCTAATTATCAACAACAGATATATTGACTTTATGAAAACTTTGATATATGTAATTTTAGCCTTATTTCTAGTACAATAGTATGAATTTCAAATACATAACTACATTTTTATACATTTTTAAATCTTCTTAAATGTCATGGAATTATTTTGTTTCTTTGAAACAAATTTGATGTTTTTTCTTAACCAGAAAGTTAAATTTTATATTCAGAATTAACATTTATAATGCAAATTTTAATTATCTTAATTTGAGAAATATACTGTAAATTCAGAAATTATTGTGAGTTTTTTTTTAATGCAAATAATGTGACTGGGTGAGTATCGCAATAATAAGAACTCGCTTTGTGATATCTGATACATATATTTGTATGCAGATTTTCCTAAATAGTAATAATTAATCTTGCATTTTTGTAAATTCTTTAAAAATCGCAATAATAAATGCATGCAAAATTTTTGGATTTTACAGTAACCAATTTGCTGTTTCACAATCTCAAGGACTTTGTGTAATTTATTATTATATTATATTATTAATATCCAAAATGAAATATGACATGTTATTCCTTGAACTACCATTGTTTTGGACATTACTAGCCCTTTAAAAAATGCATTTTGGTACCATTAAAACGTTTAATCCCGCTGCAAATGTTTGCACCTGTCCTAAGTCAGGAATCTGATTACAGTAGTTGTCGTCTGTTTATGTAATTCATACATGTTTCTCATTTCTCGTTTTTATATAAATTAGACCGTTGGTTCTTCCGTTTGAATGGTTTTACACTAGTAATTTTTTGGGGCCCTTTATAGCTTGCTGTTCGGTGTGAGCCAATGCTCCGTGTTGAAGGCCGTACCTTGACCTATAATGGTTTACTTTTATAAATTGTAACTTGAATGGATAGTTGTCTCATTGGCACTCATACCACATCTTCCAATATCTATTGAAAAATATGACCAAGAATATGGGAAATTAAGGACGAGACATGTACACATAGATTGATATTATAGTTTATTGTATACTGTATACTGTGGACTTCTGTAATTTTATTTCTAGTTGTTGGATGAAATTGAAGCCAAAAGACAATTATCTTTGATCATGGCAAAAGAATTGATTGTAGCAGCATTTGGTAGACCCTTACCTGAACCAGGAAAGATGGTGCATGTTAGAACATTGGTATAAAATCTGAACTCATAGGTTAAATGGATGTTCTTGAAAACAGACCTTGATAAATCTTGTCTGGAAGTCATCGGGAGCCTTTTGTCTTTCTATTAATAAGTAGTGGTTAAGCATCTCTGGAAATTTTATTAATAAAAAAGAATACTGTAAGCCAAATTGGTCAGAAGGTTAGCTTCATTTAGCATTGGTAGGAAGAATCTATGTTTCTTTTTTTGTCTCAGATGAATATTTGGAAATAGTTACTTTATTTATTACCTTGATTAACCTTGTTTCTATTTTAAAGATGACAACTGGGAAACCGGAATTATAATTCTTGCTTGAATTTTTATGATAAGAATTGGTTTATAACAGAAACTATATTTCTTGCTTCTATTTTTAGAATAAGAATTGGGAATCAGGTACTTTATTTCGTGCTTTTAGTTTAAGGATGAGAATTGGGAAACCATAACTTTATTTCTTGCTTCTATTTTTAGAATGGGATTTGGGAATCAAGAACTATATTTTCTGCTTCTATTTTTAGGATGAGAATTGGGAATCAGGAACTATATTCATTGCTTCTATTTTTAGGATGAAAATTGGGAAACAGGTACTATATTTCTTGCCAGACCTGATGATGACAGAGTTGATAATGTAAGTTAAAGTAAGATAATATTTTGTTAATAGATAAAAGATAGATTGATAGATATTACTCATCAACTAATATCCATATAAAGTACAGTTTGTTATTTTAAGTTGAAAATATGAATTAATGAAAAAGATATGGGAAATTGAAGAAAAAAATAATTGTTTGAAAATAAAACTACAATCCAATTTTATTCATTTAGTAATTTTCTTTCTTTCTTTCAAACTTTTATGTACAAATCACTTTATAGTTTACTTTTGGATGCATATATATATTTTCAATATTCTGTTCCTTACTATCATAGATGATAAGAGTGAGTACAATTTTGACATACTGACATATGTGCATGATTATCTGTACAATTTTGACATATGTGCATGATTATTTGCAATGCACGCTTGTGCTATAATTACGTCAAGTGTATAAGTTTGTCACCTTTAATTTATTTTTTGTCACCTTTAATTTATTTTTTTCAATTTCTTTAACACAAATAATAATATTGTAAGATTGCAAACCTATGACCTCACATTGCAACATGCTTGTGATTGCTGCATCATTATGTCGTGATAAGATAGTTATAAGATTTTGTTCATTTTGAGGTATCGATCAAGGAGATGATTTTAGCATTTATTTAATGAGTTTTCCGATGTTTTTTATATTTTGTATATGGAACTAGAAATTTTCTATTTGATTTTTATGCCCCTGTCGTAGGCAATGGGGGCATTGAGTGTTACCCTTGACTATCCCTCCGTCCGTCTTTCCATCCGTACGTCCATCCCATTTTAGTTTCCGCACTCTAACAAGTTTTACTCCTCCAAATTTTATGAAACTCATACACAATGCTAAGAACCAAAAACTCGCAGAGTTCGAATTTGGGCAGTGAGTCATTTAGTGTTCTAGAGTTATGACCCTTTTTAACTTGAAAAATTGCAAAGCTTGAGGGGGGGGGGGGGGGGGGCAATAACGTCCTCAGACACATTCTTTTTTTTGTAATTATATCAAGTTAAATGTCTAAAGATTTTTCAATACTGTTGTCTGTCTGTCAGGCAAAGCAACTGTCCAACCATCGTGGCATGTTCCATTATGCTTTTACAAATTCTTACCAAATATTAACACAATGTTAGGTTCCACGAAGACTAGTTACTTTTGAAATTTTGTGTATTTTTAGATTAGTTGTTCTTGAGTATTTTGACTTTTAATCCTAAAATTCCTGTGTCTCTCAATACTTTGATCATGCATGCTCTCACAGATCTATTAAATCTTTTTACAAAACGTTAGGTTTTGAACTTTCTAATGCAGTGTAAGGTTTCAAGCGGACAAGCAATTTTTCAAATTTGATGATATTCAGGTAAGTCATTTTAGCATTAAGGGACTTTTTATGTCGTAAACAAGGCAGTTTTCATGGGTGTAGTGATAACTCATGTTTGGTTTCTGTGAATCACTTGAAATTTTTTTGCATTATCATTACTTATTAAGGTAAGCTCCATCTTTATTTTGACAATTTTAATCTAGTACCAGTAGTTCAATTCCTGAGTAATTTGACTTTGATATTAAAAACTGGAAAATTTAACATGTCTCAAAATAGCTCAAGAATGCTTCTGTGAGTCCTCATGAAAATTTTGTCAATGTTAACTTAGGTTTCTTAAAGCCAAGCTACTTTTTGATTTTAAATATTTCAGCTTTGCATTCCAGAGTTATTGGAATTATTTTGTAAAATACAAGGTAATATTTCATATGTCTGGTGAGAAATTAAGTATGCTTTCATGAATATAGTTATAAAACTTATATAAATGGGGGCTTAGGTGGTCTAAGAAGTTTATCTACTATATCACTTGCCTGTCAATACTGAGGTGAGTTCAAACCCCACACGAGGCATGTGCATTCAATTCCATTTTTTATTAACTAAGATTGTCAGTTTTCCTGTTGAAGGTCAGTTGTTCTCTCCAGGCACTCTAGCTTCCTCCGCCAATAAAACCTTACTGCCACCATATAGCCAATATAGTGCTGAAAGTGGCCTTAAACACCAACAATCAGTCAGCAGATATATAAACAATGTTCAATCTCACTGATTAGAGGATGGTTGTTTTCTGCTCACCTGGCACAACTGTTTTGTGGTTAGGTTTCCTCAAGACATTCATGACATTACCGTTTAAAAACTAGTATGGCAAATATTAATTGCAAACCTTAACTTAAGTAAGAAGCTAAAAAATGTTTTATTTTTTTTTAATTTTTTATTGATACATAGCTAAAAAATTTCCTGAGTGCCCAAGAAAGTAAATCTTTAGTATCATTGATAAAATTGAGAATGGAAATGGGGAATGTGTCAAAGAGACAAGAACCAGACCATAGAGCAGACAACAGCCGAAGGCCACCAATGGGTCTTCAATGCAGCGAGAAATTCCCGCACCCAGAGGCGTCCTTCAGCTGGCCCCTAAACAAATATGTATACTAGTTCAGTGATAATGGACGTCATACTAAACTCCAAATTATACACAGGAAACTAAAATTAAAAATGATACAAGACTAACAAAGGCTCCTCACTTGGGACAGGCGCAAAAATGCAGCGGGGTTAAACATGTTTTTTGCACAATCCCTCCTGTTAGGGGTTTAGTATTATACCGTCATAAAATATATGAGAAGAACATAGCCCGTGTCATGCCAACAACTGGTTTTAGAATAAATGTGTTTAATTCCGATTAGGCCAATTTTGATATTTTTTAGAATAGACAAGAATGCCTTTCTGGTAGTTTTCCATCAGACATTACATTGTTAACCCACCAAGAATAGTTTTAATCCTTAACTTCATTTTATATAAAAAGGTTAGAGGAAAAGAGTGAGTGTTTTGAAGCCAAATAATTTTTAATTGCCTAATTTGAAAGAATTTACTAACAAATAACGGACACTTTGAAAAATTGCAATATTGATAGAAATGTTTATGGATACCATGGTAGATATTTATAATCTCAACAATAATTCTGTTTCTATAAGTTAATATTTTTGTATTTAATTACAAAAAGCTAATACATGCTTGCCATTCCCTATGTATGCCTAAATTGCCTACGTACTGTGTTTGTACAGTTTACACTTACATTTTGTTTCTATAAATCTAGATTAAGTATTTTTTGTGGTGGGAGATCTTATTTCAAGGAAATAATCTTTCAGAAGTTTTCTGTCAAAGGGTTTCTATAGCTATGCAAAACTGCAATTTTTTGGTAAAAGTTTAAATTCATCATTTCAGATTTATCCTTTATAGTGAAGAGTTTGTTTCTGGTAAGAATAATGTTAATTTATTTATGTATTCTATTGAGAAAATCTTTTTAACAATTTAATTTGACTTTTTTTCAGGCAAATAGAGAAACACTATTATCAAAGCTTGGTGTAGATAAATTAATCAAATTATTTTCTGTGATGTTACTGGAGAGAAGCATTCTGTTCTGTGCGAAAAACCTTGGGTTTGTATTTATGACTCAAGATTACATACATTGTACTGTAAATTCAGATTTTATTGCAAGGTTTTTATACAACTGCAAAAAATTTGCATTCATGACGAGTTTTTCAATATGCTGAATCTAACCATGTTGTTAGATTTTGGATATCAGACTATACTAGGTAAATTAAACGTCCCATTTCAAATTTTTAAGATCTTTGCCCACATTTATTTTGTGTCAGAAACCTATATTATGTAAAACATTTGATCACAATCCAAATTCAGACAGTATCAAGCTTGAATATTGTGTCCAAACTTGCCCCAATTGTTCAGGGTTCGACCTCTGTGGTCATATCAGGCTGCGCTCGGCGAAGCATTTTATTATTTATATGAATGAAGGTACTGTAAAAGTATTGCAGTAATAAGAATTCCCATTCTGAAATCTGATACATTTATCTATAACTAACTTTTTCTGAAATAGCAATAACTAATCAAGAATGTTTTTAAGTCATGTCAAAATTGCAATTATAAAATTAATGTAATAATTTCTGAATAAACAGTATTGAACGATACAAATGAATTAATTAATTTAAAGAGAAAATAGCTTCCTGTTATCTCTTATTGAAAATCCTATGCATTGTTACATGTAATATGTTCATAGCAGTTAAGACTTCTCAAAGGTTTTTTTTTGTATAAATAAAAGATAAAACCTCAATGAGACACAAAGCTGACAATGCAAAATAACGTGAGGGATTGTTTGTATTTTTTTAAAAAGTTTCTGTAATACTGCAGTTTATGATCTAAATCAGTTGATTTTTTCCTTTTTCTTGTTTCTTATTTTTTCCCCTTAAAACTACAATTAAACTTCCATAATTATCTTAAAGTTTCTGATGTTTTATTTCAGGATTTTATCCCAGACAATCCATGCCATGAGATCTTTACTTTATCCATTCTCCTGGCCACACACATACATTCCAGTATTACCAGATACCATGTTAGATATCTGTTGTTCTCCCACACCATATGTTATTGGAATACTGTCGTCACATCTTCAGACAGTTCTTAATCTGCCACTTAGTGAGGTGAGAGTAAATGCCATATACCTGATATCTAATATTTAGTTAATTTCAGAACTGGATAACATGGACAATAATTTGAAGTTCATTTATATTTAACATTTACCCTTTAAATTTCTTTGAATACTGTGGAGTCATTATTATTCATTGGATACCAATTTTTGTGTATTTCATTGGTACAGGGGGACCACAAATTTAAATAATCAACAAACCAGAAATTTTCTATTAGAAGGAGTTAGAGCACAGTGTTTGTGATGTTCTTTAGTTAGGGTAAAAAATGTTGACTGGATGTACATGAGAAAAGAAAATGATAAAATACTAGTTCATATTAATACCTTAAAGGCTCTTTTTCTTATCATTATCATTACTGAGGGTCATAAGTGATGAGGTGAAGTCCTCAAACTCTACAGCTATATATATGCTTTTGAAGATGCATAAATAATATAAAATAATTGCTGAAACCTTTCTACAATACTGATAATTAGCTGTTTGAAAAAGGACACCTTTATGTCATAATAACTATTAGTAGTCCTCATGTTTGAGCATACACTTATTGTGTTTCTGGTTTTGTTTAGTTTTGTGTGAGTGACAAAAGTACCTTTTGGTCATTAACAGTAAATAGAATTAAACATGGGCAAAAATAACAAAATATAGCAGACAGCAATGGTACTTATTGTTTTAAGAGATAATTTCCTACATGTTGTATTGTTTTTAACATTAGGGGACTCTTTGACTATTACTTGCCAAATAGCATTGTGTTACCATTTTAGATATTTATATTTGACCTTGATAAAAGACAAGTGATTAAGTCACAAGGAGATGAGGATACACTGCTGCCTAAATCTGTACAGAAAGCACTAAAAACAGTCCTAAACATGTGCAAAGTTGAGGGAGGTAGGAAACTTGTAGTTTAGTAGAATTTTACACAAAATCTTCTTTAAAAATATCATTTTAATTATTGTCATAAACAGGTCAGTTTAACTCATCATCAATTTATATATTATTTTTTCTTAAAAAGAGCTAGATAATTTTCAGCAATGTGTAAAGGGTGGTTTGTAAACTCTACCAATTTACAGAAAATTTGATAGAAAAAAATCATTTTAATGCACACTGTTGCATGTTGTATTGATAGATTGTATTAAATTACTTGCTATGTTCAATGTTTGGTTAGGAAATTACTTGCTATTGTCAAATTTTGGTTAGGAAATTACTCTATTATAGTTTATTATAGGTTTCATAAAAAGTGAGAATTGGATATCGCTTGATATAAACATGAGTTATTCTATATCAATATAATAATGAACAAGCCTTCAGCAAGTTTATTATTACTATTTAAATTAAATAATGAAAATTGATATCAAGTGATATCCAATTTATATAATAATAATAATTATTTTGGAAAGATTGTCCTGCAATCTTTTACCTATGCCAAACTATATAGATTTAAAAAAAAACAATAAATAAATATTCTCAATTCACTAAGATAATGCTCATTTTTATATGCATTTTTCAGATCTGAAAAATGCCCAGAATTTGCTGATATCAGAAGCTTTCCTTAGGTTCTTTGTTGAAGCCGTTGGACATTATGGAAACCACATTACAACTCAGCAAAATGGTCAGCTTGTCTTTGAGGTATGTGTTTTTTTTTAATTTTTAAAAGAAAAGGTTAGACATAAGAGCTATCTTGGCCAAAAAAATCTCAAACATTTTTTTTTTCAATATTTCCAAATTTTATTAGTTCTATTTATAAATGAAAAGGATGATATATAATCTGGACACATTGAACAAAAATGTCCGTTGTTATCTCATTATGACATTATAAGCATGTTCTGTTTAGGCCATTTGGAATCTAAGCTTACCATAAGTTAATATTCTTAACTTCCCAAAACTTTTGTCTCCAGCATACATCATTGTACACACACACATTATATTATGTTTTGAAAAAACCATCACAGGAAAAATGGTCAATTGAGGAATTTTCTGCTAGCACTGTAAGGTATACCTTTAAGAATACTAATTAGCAAAGTAATTAAGGTAATTAATGATATCTATATGAATAATTGGTCTTGTAGAAAGATAGTTTTGTAAAGAATGCACAGTCCTCTAGTATGGAACAGTTCTTAGAATGGTTTACAGAAACACAGATGTTTGAGGTGTTCCTCACAGATAAAGTGGAAACTAAAAACAAATCAAAGACGAATACGCTTAGTAAGTTTTCAAAGTCAAATCAAAGAAATAAAACTAAAGCTATAAAGTAAGACACACCAGCTCTTTAATATTGTTGTATGGTTTAAAAATGACATAAAATTTACTTGAAATTACTATTATCCATTTCATGCAATACTTTCATAATATGGTCAAATTTAAAGTTGTCATGACTTTTATTGAGCATGTTTGATAGACTTCAGTTCACAACCGAGTGATGAGAGAAATTTTAGTCACAAAAGGAAATATACAGATGCTTCAAGTATTCAAACATCTTATTGAATGTTTATTTAAAATATCAAAACGATACTGAGGATTACTGAATTTGTTTATTGATTCTATTATTAGCCAATGTAGTAAATCAAGACGGACAATTTCATTAAGACAAAATGTTCTTATAATAAAGTGAAAGTTATCAAGATATCACTTAATAAAAAAATATGAAGTAAATCTTAGGCTTAAGTATATTTAAAGGGGGTTAACAAATTATGCTGTAAAGGAAATCATTGTACAGTGGCTTAGTTCTTTAGCAACTGGGTAAAGGTAAAAACAAATTTAAACTTTTCAATGATGAGAAATATTATCTTTCTACTTAGAACTATTTCATTTAAACATACATGCCACCCAGGGAAGGCACTTTCAAAATAAGTTAAATCTCTATAGATGCAACTTTAGACTTTCACTTTTATTTTCAATGTACTAGTTGACATTTCAAAATTCCTTACCATGTGTTCCATATTATTTTTTAACGGAACAGTACTTACTTAGTGTTATACCCAAAATATTTATTTTTTGAGACTTATCTGCTCAGAATCTCATTTTTAGTTTTTAGTATTTCCTTGCATGCAACAATGGTTGTTAAAGTACTCATATACGATCAGAATTACTGACTTTTATGAGTTTAATTCAAAGTTTTATTTCATTTTCTACAGTATATAAGTGGTTTCCCTTCAATATTCCTTATGGAATAGAAATTTATGGTCAGTTAGATAGTGGTTATAAGCTGGATTGAAATTGTTTGGACAAGGCTGATAAGAACAGGAGCACTGATAACCGTAGTCAAAGAAAGAATAGGTTTATTGTTAAGAAGATACTAATTTATGGGCGATATACATGCATTAGTATTGCCATTAGTTTTCTTGTTTGAATTGTTTTACATTTGTCATTTCGGGGCCTTTTATAGCTGACTATGCGTAAAGGGGTTACTCATTGTTGAAGGCCGTTTGGTGACCTATAGTTGTTAATTTCTGTGTCATTTGGTCTTGTGGAGAGTTTTCACATTGGCAATCATACCACATCTTCTTTTTATATTAATAAGTCATTTCATTTGTGTTGTAGATATATTCAACAGTCGTATTAAAGAGTACAATGAGGAGTTGGAAGAAGCCAAGAAAGACAAAAAGAAGTCAAAAGGATTCCTGAAATTACTAAAATAGTCTCAATCATTCAGAGTTATAGTCACAAGATATCGGTATATTTATCTGTAAAATTGTCTCATGTTATCTCAGTAATTAATTATACAATGGATATAAGCATTATCATCTTATACATGAAATATATATATATATATTATTTGCATGAAATGTTTACTATCAAATATAAAACCATTGTATAAAAATTTATTATTGCATTTGATAACAATTGTGCTAAAGATATTATCCTTCCATGAATTTTCTGCTTATAATCCAAGAATTTGTCATGGTATCATGTATTAATTTGATACACAATTTTTGTTATTTGAACACATGGAAAGTTAATACTAGTTATAACAAACAAAGGAAAATAAAAAATTTAAATTTGTGAAACGTTTTAACTTAAATGCATTATCTCCAAACAACCCAAACTTCTGATATAACTCAATGAATTAAGGTACAATAACTAGTACAAGTTTCACATTTTTATTGAGCAGTTTTTACACTCATTGCAAAAACCGACTATATTAATGCTTTTCATTAAAAAAAAAACTTTTGTGTTTCTATGATATTTACACTACATGAATTTCCAAACATTTATATACAAAGAACATTTCACAAATACTCTTTATGATCTCTCTCCACCTATCAAGAAGTTTTTCATCATGCATTATTCTAAGTGCAATGACAATATGCAATAAAGTTTTTGGTTTTGATATTTGGAAATATGTTCATACACTATTAACTACAAAAGTAAATAACAGAATGACAATTTTTGTAATTTGTTGAAAATCTATTTTTTTTTAGTGTTGTTTTAATAATGATCTAAAATAAGAAGATATAAGTTTAGTATTATTTTTTTCTCCCTCCCTCCCCCCAAAGAAATTCTAAATTCTTTTATACTTTTCTGTTATTTTTGTATTGCAAAAAAGGTATAATTATATGATTTGGCAATTTAGTACGGAAATGTTAAAATGACTCAGTGATCTCAGAAAAAGGCAAAACAAATTTGTTCTTAAGAAAAAGAGACATTTTTAGCAAAAATTCTTACCCAATAAGATATTTGAACCACAACAAAGTTATTGTGAAATACTTTGTTCAGAAAAATATCTTTTACATGAAAATTTTACTCATATCTAAATATGGATGAGGTATTTTTCATGGATATATTACTTTTGAGGGGACCAAAGCAAAGATATAAGTAAGATTTTAAACTTATTATTTATTTATTAAAAAAAATTGACATTTTAAGTTGTATTTATCTCTTGGAGTATCTTTAAGATTTTACAATAGAGGTGCCAAGAACAGCACTTAATCATAAATTCTCTGTTTTAACTACCAAACTTAAGTAAAATGCTGTAGATTTATTTTATTTTTTGGGGGGGAATAATTTTCATGGATCGAGGAAAAAACTTTTTATTGATTCTTGATTATTTTGTTTTGACAAATTTTGAATACAAGTCTCAAGGGAAATTGTATCTTTTTGAACACTGATATTCTTGGTTCACCTATGTCCATGAAACCCATGAAAATTAATACTCCCTGGATAATATGAATCAACAGTATGCTTATTTATAACTGTGGTTTTGTTAACCTATAAATTTCTCAAAAATTATGCTTTCGCATTAAAACAGACAACATGTTTTGTATAAATCTCATTTTTAATATAATTAAAATGTCAGATCTTTTGTTTGATATGGTGCTCATATTTTCCCTATCTTCTTGTGTTAAGTTACTCTTTATACATATACAAAACCTGTAGAACTATGGTCAATTTCTGTTGATATAACAATAATGTTTGAAAAACAAAAGTTTGCAATATTGGAGCTGACATTTTTTGGTTGCATTTATTATGTCATCATAATATTCATTTGCTAGCTGCAAATTCTAGTTGAACAAAAGAAAATCTGTATAAAATGACTTGTTAGAAAACTTATCATTTAAACAAGTTATAATTCCTATCATAATGTTACTTAGGGGTTGGTGCCTTATTTTACTTAAAAGTAAGATATGTTTGCATGTGTGCCAATGCATCATATTAATAGTTATAAATGATTGATTCTTTATAATTGTTTCATAGAAATAGAATTTATCCTGTATATTCAGTGGTGGATTCAAGGGGGAGGGGTAGAGGATTTAGGAAAAAAATATAAGTTTTTGGCATAAAATCATCTGACATGGTTTTCCATTATGGACAAAATACCCCCCCCCCCCTTTTTCTTGAAACCCAGAATCCACCTTGATAATTTAAATTGTAAATTTCAGAAAAATAAATTGTTTTGATAAGTACATCATGAATATCTCATTATAACAATTAGTTGTATAATTAATACTTAATATAAATAATATGAATCTCATCAAAGTATTTTTATTAACATATGGTTCACATTGATTGGCAATATGTCATACTTTTTGTGAGATAACAAATTTAATTTGAAAGGGATTGGTTATTATATTGTATTCAGCATTGTAATTTAGATTTGTATATATTCTAATTAATAAGTAATAAATGTCCTGATATTTAAAAGTAGTATATAATTATTTGCATGAAGGAAGGGTAAATGAGTAAGAATCTCTCATTGACAATTTTACCATGTAGACAATTTTAATATTATTATTGTTGTTGTTGCAGAACAAAATGATCCTATAGTTACATTTGTAATTAGTTTTTGCGTACTTAAAATATTTGTACTAATTTGTATAAAAATATTGAAATTGAAGAACCTGTTTTTTTTTTAAATCCTAATACATGCATTTAATATATATGGGTTACATTCAACTTACATAATCACTTTAAAATCAAATTTGAAAGTTTACCCAAGATTTTCATTTGTCTTTCATTGTGAGCAGTTGTAAATTGCATATTCTTAAATTTCTAATTGTAAACTTTTCCTTCATGGCACATGTTTTTCATGAATGAAAAGTGCTAGACCATAGTATATTAACAATCGTCCAGAATGGGCCAGTGTAATATTTTTATTTCAAACTTGAATGTAAAATAAATCATACATATTTTTTATGTGTCATGTTTTATAACTGTCAGATAGATTATGTAATATAATAATATATATAATAATGCTGATGATTTTAAACTGGTATTTATGTGCATGTGCAATTTAACAGATAATTATGGTAAGCAGCGTGTAAGCAGCAGTCATAGGCAAAGTCCCATAGTGTATATAGAATTTTACAAATACTATTTATCTGTGATACTTATTATTTTTGCTTAGTATTATTGCGCTTTTATTTATTTGCTAGGGATAGATTTTTCATGTTTAATTATAAAAATTGTTTGTACATTGTTAATGAAATGTTGTTTAAGGGTTTTTAAGGACTTTTATTTGTTTGATCATTATAGTTTTAGTTAAAGGTACTTACAATTTTAATGAATCATAGAATCTTATTTTTGAAGCATTTATAAGTTTACAAACATGATAACATAATACAATAACAAGTCTATAAATATGTTCCCACTACCAACGGTAACATGGTAAATATGTTCCCACAACCAACAGTAACATGGTAAATATGTTCCCACAACCAACGGTAACATGGTAAATATGTTCCCACAACCAACAGTAACATGGTTTTGTTCATCTTTAAAAAAGAAGAATGCAAATTTTAAGAGGAAACCTACAACTGTTTATTGTTTTTGATGTAAGAGGTAAGGTAAGACACAGCTATCATTTTTTTCTTTGACAGTGCCATGATACTATCAACTTTTTCAAAAATAATATAATCTTTTTTCCTATTCACCAGTTTAACTGAATTTTATATGGAGTTATGCCCTTGTCAACAAGACATTTTCAAATAACCTTCATCTTATTTTTAGTATATAGTAACGAGGTTACTGTTTGGGGTAGCTGTGCAGCTCCTTTATAGCTGTTTTGCATGTCAAAACCTATTTAGATAAAACTAAATCAAAGATGCAGGTGAAATCGTCAGACAAGACATTCATGAAAATTGGTTTACCATTATGATTCTTATAAATGAATCTGTAGAAAAATATTCTGCTATAGATTACAAATTATATCTCAAACTAGGTAATAAAGAATAGAAAACCCTGGTCAATTGTTGTAGTTTTTGGCTTCAAAACATTATGGAATCTCCAAAGAAAAATTGCTTAAATATAATTTTCTCTTTTTCTTTAAGGTTCAAATTTATGCCAATGTATTCCAATGAATTCTTTAAAAATCCTGAAGAACAACATTAGATATACAGTTCTTCCTTGCTATCCTAGAACAATTTAAAGGTGAGAGGGCTTAGATGATACTTGTTTGTAGAAATTTGTGATAAAGGTACAGTGCTGTATTATTGTCAATTTGGCAGGATATAACAACAGATCTTATATAATTTAGTATGATTCTGTTACCAATTCCGGTTTACTCCAATTAGTTGTTTCTGACAATGATGGCATGCTACTTTGTTTTGGGAGACTAACAGGTTTGTTTATATATTTTACTAATTTATAATTTGTTTTTTTTTCCAAACAAGAAAAAAAGTTCTGAGGTTGTAAAAGAAAAATGTTCTTGATAATATTTATGGTTGTAACAGGTTATTTGGAATTAGAAATTAACAGTTTTAAACTATTCCTAGAGAAAACAAACATTCTTATCAGTAATTGAATAAAAATACCCTCCTTGGTTCAAGACCAACACTTAAAGTCAAATGGTTACCATATAGGGTTTACATTGGCCAATTTAAACGAAACAAAAAATCCAGAATTGAAAATCTATCTCTATCTTGAGTTTTGCTTGCTTTTTATTTTAAGCTATTATATCTTAGAAATTGTAATTGGTGGATATAATTTGTTATATTTGACAGTACTTATTACATCATAAAATAATTGTTATTTTTTTAGCATTTCATCGCAAACAATTATTGGATAAAAATTTCATTTACAATGTCTTTTTTTTTATTATTGAAATGTAACCAAAAATAGTAAAATATCAAAAGATGTGAATTGAGTGAAAAAAATTGTATGGTTTTGAACATTTATACCATGTATTTTTGTTATTTTTTGTATTTGAGGGGGTGTATTGTTTGAATTTTCTCGTGATAAAAAAAACTCTAATTAAATCATGTCATGAAATTAAGTAATTTGTGTCAATCATGATGAAAAAAGATACCAGTAGTACTACTTATTATATACTTGGTATCGAAAACTTTTGAACTGTAATGTTAAGGTACTACAAGTAGCTTGTACATTTTGCTTCAGCTTGCTTGCTTATTATTTATGGCACAGTGAAATTTGATTATTTCTTTTCTTTGCATTCCATATCAAAATGATAATAAAATTTGTTATTGTTTCTATATATTTGTTTTTTTTATTTCACAATAGTTTTCCTTTTAGGCTTGATGATAATTTGGTGTTGCCTTCTGTTTAAGTTTGTTCTTTTGTTTTATAAAAATTATTTTTATGACAGTTTGACAAAGTAAGCGTTTTTCCATAAAGCTATCCATATTTTATGTATAGAGGCTTTATGGGGTTCTAATTTCTCTTGACCATATCAGTGTATCCTTGACCTGATTTAAAAAGTGGTGCCTTGAATTTTGTGGTTAGTTCCTTGATCAGGTTATTTTCTAAAAAAAAGTAAAATACCAGCCAAAACAATGAGTAGTCTTTTGAAACTTTGAAAAAGACTGAATTCCAACATATGACATCAAGTCTTCAATCAATTTAGGTCTACATTTAAGTTTCGTTTTTAGAATGTCAATAGCATCAAGTTACCGTAACACATAGTATGTAGGCATCCAAAAAGAATATTGTGTTTAACTTTTCACTGACATTTATGTGTTTGGTGTAAGCTTTTTTTAGTTTTTCTAACTTTTGTAAACATATGTTGAGGTGTGTTGAAATTACAAAAATTGAAATTTGTGTAGTTTTCCATTAATTATGTGACCCAAATCAAGCCAATGATTTTAAGCTGATTCTCCATCTTTATTCTAAAAATCCTTTATATTTGTTTTAGTGACATACATTTAAAAAAAAACAGTCGAAAAACAACAATAGATTTGTGAAGTTCCATCACATTTTTTGTAGATATATTTCTGTATTTATTAAAGGTGGCAAACGCTTGACTATCAAGGATTGTAGAAGTCCAAGTGTAAAAAAAAAATCATTTTTTATATTTGCGATTCATTCGTTGTTGAATTGATTCAACAAAATATAGAATTATGTCAGTTGCCAATTTAATATTGATGATTTAACTAAATTATTCCATTATACGGTTTTATGTTGTTTAATTCGTCTTTCTTATTGAAAGAAGTTCATTCATAAAATTATCATAAAATCTCTACACACGTCATAGTAATGTAATCTAATATCACATAAATTGTTTCAAAATAGCACTATTTAACGCTTTCTGACTACACTTGTGCTAGTTATTCGTTCATATATAATCCAACTGGCCACGTTATTACTGGTGACTTAACCATAGTCCATAACACTTCACTTCGAAATGTGTTATCCAAGGCTTGAGGTATCATGAGCCTAAATCCATCCTTCAAAATACTGATGGATTCATTCAATGATTATGTCAGGCAATGGATTGAACTCAATAAAGAATACGTAGATACTCTTTCCGAATAAATAAAGGCTGTGAGGTCGTTAATATCAATCAGAATTAAAAAACTGAATGGCTCTATGAATGCACATGCTACATTCCGTTCCTGATGAAGGTAAATCTAGAAAAGTGCTTCGGACGCATGAAATTTATAATGTGTTGTTTTCATTTTTTAATCTTCAAAACCCAAATGTTGCAAACCAACTGTCTTACCACAATGACAAATATGTTGTTGTCCCAGAAAATAATGCCCCAAACAACATTGTTTTTGTGTGTAAATCACATTACATAAACTGCTTGATAAATGAATTAATTATTGACAATTCACTTGAAAACTCAACATATACCCCAACGACACTTAAGAAGGAAATCCTGGATAATCTGTATCTGTTTTATATGTTCCTTTGGAATTTCAACCAAGGATGAAGGACTGTATCTTCCTTCACTGTATTGGATACGTAAATTGCATAAATGTCCTTACAAGCAACGTTATATTACTGGGTCTTCCCAGTGATCCACACAACCTCTTCCTTAATTATTAACATCAATTTTATAAGCAATCAAAGCTGAGCTTCAAAGTTATTGTCAAACTACCTATTCTAGAGGTGGCGTGAATCAGATGTGGATACTGAAAATTCCAATGATCTGTTAGAGTACATACAACCTAAAAGTATTTAAACATACGACTTTTCAACACTTTACACAAGTACTTCTCATTCCAAACTAAAAGACAAATTGAAAGAGTTGGTCCAGTTTTGTTTCATTAAAAAAAATGGCCAACGTGGAATCTTATTTGTAAAAAAATCACTCTAATTCAAACAAAAATTCTCTGAAACTGACAATATCAAGATGCTTCATTTCTTGATTGACAACATATTTGTTACATTTGAAGGACGTATTTTTCAACAAACAATCGGCATTCCCGGGAGAACCAACTGTGTTCCTCTTTTTGCCAACTTGTTTCTTTATCTATACGAGGCTGACGAGGAGCTACTTAGGAAGAAAAAAAGATATCATTATCCTCGTACATTGACTTACATTTAGAAATTGACAATAATGGTTTGTTTAAAACAAAAGTTTATGACAGAAAAGATGATTTAATCTTCTCAATTGTGAACTTTCCATTTCTATGAGGCAACATTCCAGCAGCGCCTGCATATGAAGTATATATCTCCCAGTTAATACGATGTTCCATGGCTTGTATTTTCTATCATGAATCCCTTAATAGATGGTTGCTGCTCACAAGGAAGTTATTTAACCAAGAGTTATAAGTGGTGGAGTTGAAAGCATCTCTTCGTAAATTTTACTGACAACATCACGAGTTGGTTGATCGTTATGGAATATCTGTGTCACCGATGACGAAGGATATGTTCCTTATGCCGTAACAACAATCCCGTCTTTTTTTCCCCAATGTGACCTACCGAATAAGACTTATCACCGGATTTGTACTTACATGAGCAAAACGACGGGTGCCACGTGTTGATCAGGATCTGCTTACCATTCTGGAGCACATGAGATCACCCCCAGTTTTTGGTGGGTTTCGTGTTGCTCAGTCTTTAATTTTCTATGTTGTGTTTTCTGTTGTTTGTCTTTTGGTTTTGTCTTTTTTTTTACCATGGCGTTGTCAGTTTATTTTCGACTTCTGAGTTTAAATGTGCCTTTCGTATCTTTTGCCTCTCTTTTATCATGTTTTTTTAACACAGGGATTCGGTTAGCAGATTAAGAAAAATTTAATTAATGCTTTTTAATTATTTTAGTATTTGCCCTCTAGGCAATTGATTTTTCAGTATAAATATATGGATAGTAAACTGCACATTGCTAGAAAACAAAGAAATATTGATGCCATCGTCAAATGCGTGAATAAAGTAACACAAATAGACAGGAAATACTTAATAAGATTTAAAAAAACATTGATTTTGGTTTTTATTACTGACATGAAATTATACAAACCTTATTATCTATTAAAGGCTTCCTTAATTTCTGATAGCACTGATAGACTCCACTCTGTAAACAAATCATCAAAAAATTATTAACTGGTCAGTAATAGTTATCCCATGTGGTCGCAGTGTGTCAGTGTAAGATCACCGCGATGGCCGGAATGTGATCTTAAACTGACACACCAAGTCCGAGTGGGATAACTATTTTACATCCCAGCTCTTCTAGATTATATGAAAAAACATTTACGCTTTCATAACATCTAGTTCAGAATGCTATACAATAATTATAATATACTTTATATATTACTATATAGTATATACCCTTTATGAGCCCCGGATACAATGTTTAAATATGTTAGATTAATAGTATCATGTCATCCTGGTGTAGGGGTTTGAATCGTTGCTTCATATGCTGAAGGTCTTAAGGTTGATTAGACACTACACTGGAAATTTAGTGGATTTTTTTAGTCTTTATTCCGCATAAATATTTCTAAGTTTTATCGTGTGTTCGACGTTCCCGCCAAAACGTTACAGAACAAAGGAAAGCATGCAGAACAAAGAAACTCAAGATAAGGTGATCTGGTAGGGGTGGTTCGACTCAGATACCCCGGTTGGAACACAGGCGTTGAGATGTAATTAAGGTTACTTCTCAGGACAGTGTCAAAAGTCATAATGACCCTCTAAGCAATTGAAAATGATTACCTGTAATTCTCTGGAATTGAAAAGTCAAGCGTATCATGCAACTGGAAATTTCTTTATTAAAATAAGTTGTGTTATATTATTAACGCGACTATGTCAATAGTTATGAAAAGGGTAAAGCGTAAGTCAGTTCACAGGTTAATCGACAGTTAACGTGCATTTCATAAAAAAATCAGGTGCCGGTCTCATCTTCAACTTAATCGGTATGTATGAATGAATGATTCTTATTATAATAAAAACATAGTTCTGTGGTAGAACACTCGCATCACGAAAGTTGAAATCATCAATAGAATGATCAAAGTTAAACCTATTGTGATAATCAAAATCAAATCATATTAAAAGCAATAAAGATAATGATGCCAGGTGGATTGTCAGGTAAATTATTATCCAGTATTAAACACCCTACAAGCAGGCCTATGTATTGAAATTAATTAACGTGACATGATTTTTTTGCGGCAGTCATACGATTCGAAAATATATTTGCCTCCACTGTAAGCCGGGTTAACATGTTGTCCCGCTGGGAGATGTAAATAGGACTTTCTGCTGGTTAATTTTGTTATTGATATAAAGTTAAAACATATTCTACAGTACAACAATAGTAAGTTACGCGGAAATGTAATACGCTTGATTTTAACACTGATAGAATGGTGTAAAATAACGTAATAATGGTAAAGCGATCACTAAAAGGGCACTGAATTGCAAAATCAATTCAGAGCATTTCCCATTGAAGGGGGTTGGCACAGAAGGGTGCAGCTTCGGACATTTAGAGTGCAGCGAAATGGCCAAATCAGACACCAGAAGGTATCTTTTTGAGAGTTTGAGTTTAAACACTATTTCATTCAGTACATATGAAGTAGATTGGGCAACAGGCGAATCCTATGTAAGCTCTCTACTAGAGAGTTGAGAGTTTATCGGTTAATTTGAATTTTATTGCAGCTTATATTTAAATACAGTTTTCTTTCGAGGGAGTTTGGGGCTTCATTTTATTTCGTAGGAGTGAACAGCTGAGACATCACATACCTCCCCTTTTTCATATAGTTTTATAAAAAATACATATACATTGTCATATATTTATGGACAATAACTAGACCTATGCTTATGTATACGCTTG